TTACTCTGCTATTAGTATTATTTTTATTACATTTATTATTTTACTCTATTATTTTTATTACATTTATTATTTTACTCTATTATTTTTATTACATTTATTATTATTATTACATTTATATTATTTCACTCTACTATTATTTTGCTGTTATTATTAATTTAATGTTATTATTACATTTATATTATTTTACTCTATTGTTATTTTTATTACATTTATTACTTTACTGTTATTATTACATTTATTATTGTACTCTATTATTTTTATTACATTTATAATTATTATTACATTTATATTATTTACTCAATTATTATTTTCTTACATTTATTATTTTACTGTTGTTATTACATTTATGGCCTTGCAGCTTCAAAGCCTGGCTGCTCTTGCCTGGAGGATTCCTTTGTTGGGAGGTGATTAGCTGGCCCTGATTGTTTCCTGTCTGGAATTCCCCTGTTTTCTGAGTGTTGTTCTCTATTTGCTGTCCTGATTCTAGAGTTTTTAAGCTGGCCAATTGCAACATTCACACTTGCCTCAGGCAGACAAGAGTTTCTCCCACTCTGGACATTATTCCATGGATATATAAACCCAACTTGCCTAGTTTCCAACAGACTTCACAACCTCTGAGGATGCCTACCATAGTTGCAGGCGATATGTCAGGAGGGAATGCTTCTGGAACATGCCAGACAGCCCAGAAAACTCACAGCAACCAAGTGATTCCAGCCATGAAACCTTCGTCATCACACTTTTGTCGGCGTTTGTATCCCATCTAGTATTATTCTATAAGCAACTTCCACCAGAAATCCCTCTGAGAGACCAGGGTTCGAATCTCTTCTCACCGCTCAAGACCAACTGACTGGCCTTGGGCCACTCTCTCAGTCTCACGAATAAACAAAACTATTGTGGCAAACCTTTTCTGAATTCAGAATCCCCTGGTCATTTCCTCAAGTTCTTGAGTTGCTCCAAGAAGGGTCTCCATCGCACATGCTGTTCCCGCCCTCCCTGCAGGTCCATCCTAACCGCCTGGAGATCCTCTTGGCCGTGGTCCAGTACAAGACCTTCCTCAGCCGGCCCCGGCGCGGCCTCTGCTCCACCTGGCTGGCCTCCCTTGACCCCAAGAACGGTAAAGTAATAATAATAATAATAATATATTTATACCCTGCCACCATCTCCCCAACAGGGACTTGGGGTGGCTAACATGAAGCCAACCCCAACAATTACAACAAATCAAAATAAAACACATACAGCAAATAATAACATCAAATATAAACAAAGCAAATTAAAATACAAAACAAAATATTGGAAATGAAATAAAATAATAAAAATATGCACAGAGGGGAGAAGGGAGGGCATCATGCTGGAGAGGTTTGGGGGGGATTGATTTTGTCATTTGCTGGGATTTACAGTTCACCTACAATCAAAGAACATTCTGAACACCACCGACGATGGAATTGAACCAATCTTGGCACGCAGAACTCCCATGACCAACAGAAAATACTGGAAGGGTTTGGTGGGCATTGACTTTGAGTTTGGGAGTTGTAGTTCACCTACATCCAGAGAGCACTGTGGACTCAAACAATGATGGATTTGGTCCAAACTTGGTGTGAATACTCAATATGGCCAAATGTGAACACTGATGGATTTTGCGGAAAATATGTCTTGATATTTGGGAGTTGTGGTTGCTGGGATTTATAGTTCACCTACAATCAAAGAGCTCTCTGAACTCCACCAATGATAGAATTGGGCCAAACTTCCCACACAGAACCCCCATGTCTTGAAAGCACTCGCTGGCACACGCCTCCCTCCAGCCCCGCACGCTCTTCGTCACCTACACTTGCACACCACGTTGCCATGCGTTGAGCACGCCTGCTCTCCCTGCTTGGGGTCTCAGAAACAGCCCTCCCCTTGACTGAGAGGTCGGCCAGTCATAGCAGTGGAGAGCTTTTGGTGGGAGGATTCACCGTCTGTTTCCCAAAAGGAAGAGAAAGACAGGCGGAGAGATCTTTAGCCTTTTCTGCAAAAAAAAAAAATGGCAGAAATTTATTTATTTATTTATTTATTTATTTCAAACCCCGCCCTTCTCAACCCTCATACCGTAATCCACATAAAAACACAGCAAATCGATTTCAAAATTAGTTTTAAAATAAAAAGTGCATTGATGAAAAGTCCAATAATATTTTTAATATTTAACAAAAATAATATATGTTTTCTGATGGTTTTTGGCGACACCTCTGAAACCCCCTCATGACCCCCCCCCCCCCCCCCCCCGGGGTCCCAATCCCCCAGATTGAGAAATGCTGGACTAGATTCAGGTCTTGCTGGGTGTTTTGCAGTCCTCCCTTCAGTGTCTTCCCAATGACAATACTGCTAAAAGATCTCCATATAGACAGAGAACAAGGGGGAAAGAGTGAATGGGAGCAAAAGGGCACTTTGTTGGCTGCTGAGGAATGTTTGCAACGTCAAAGGCAGCAGAAACACATCCAGAGAGAGGGGGAGAGGTGTGAAGAGGAGCCCAAAATAACCCTCCGAGGGACAGGAATGTGAAAAATGTGTCCGGAGATGGAGAAAGGAAGGGCAAAGATGGCCAGACTTTGTGGCTGGGAAGTGACTTGATCCCCTTCTTTCAGGGTCCGTCCGGGTTCCTCTCTGGGTGAAGAAAGGAGGGATGAAGTTCCCCAAAGACCCCGAGACCCCTGTGATCCTGATTGGGCCTGGCACCGGAGTGGCGCCTTTCCGAGCCGCCGTCCAGGAGAGAGTGGCCCAAGGCAAACAAGGTGACTCCCTCCACAGGGTCTGCAGAGTGGCCTTCACGCAGCCTGGGAGGTCACTGAGCCACCCTCAAGGGCACTGCATTGCCTGCCTAGTCCCTTCCACCAAGGGGAGGTCTTGGTTAGATCATACCGCTTCCCACCTGCTTTCTCCCTTCTCCAATCCTTCCTTACAATATCTCATTTTGGCTCTCTTTGTGGCGTTCTTTCTTTCCTCTATTTCTCACACCATTCTTTCCTTCTTCCTTTGCTTTCCCTAGAATCATAGAATCATAGAGTTGGAAGACACCTCATGGCCATCCAGTCCAACCCCATTCTGCCAAGAAGCAGGACAATCACACCCAAAAGTCACAATTCTGCCATAAAGGGAGGCACAATTAAATCCCTCCCGACAGATGGCCATCTAGCCTGTGCTTAAAGGAGAAGAAGGGATGTTCAATATGTTGTCGAAGGCTTTCATGGCCAGAATCACTGTAAGTTTTCCAGGCTGCCTGGCCATGTTCCAGAAGCATTCTCTCCCAACCAAGGATTTCCCCAGGCAACAAGCAGCCAGGCTTTGAAGCTGCAACGCCATTCAATGTTAATCAGAGTGGCCAATGGCAACATTCACACTTGCCTCAAGCAGACAAGAGTTCTTTCCCACACTCTGGACATCATTCCACAGATTATTATTATTATTATTATTATTATTAATAATAATAATAATAATCTTTATTTATACCTCACCACCATTTCCCCAGCTTACATGAGGCCAAGCCCCACTTGCCTAGTTTTCCAACAGACCTCACAACCTCTGAGGATGCCTGCCATAGATGTGGATGAAATGTCAGGAGAGAATGCTTCTGGAACAAGACCAGACAGCCTGGAAAACTCACAGCAACCCAATGATAAAAGAATCCTAGCGTTGGAAGGGATATCAAAGGTAACCCAGTCCAAGCCATTCAACCAGACAGAAAGGCATAATCCAGAAATGGCTATCCAGCCTCTGCATCATCATCATCATCATCATTATCAAATCCAAAATGAGAAGGTACCCCCCAAAAGCCATCGAGTCCATCCCCATTCTGTCCCTCATTTTCCTCCTTCCCTCCTTTTTCTTTTGTTTCACCCCCTTCTTTTTCTCTCTTCTTCATTCCTTTTTTATCTTTCTAACCCTTCCTTTTCCATTGTTTCTATTATTTCTGTCCCTTCTTTTCTCTTTCTTCCCTCCCTCCCTTCATGCTTTCTTTCATTCATTTCCTTTCATTCCCTCCTCTCATACTTTTCCTTTTTTCCTTTCTCTTGCTTCCTTCCCCTTTCCTTTTCCTTTTCTTTCATTCCCTATTTCTCTCCTTTCTTCGTTCCCTTTTATTTTTCTACCTCTTCCTTCACCATTGTTTCTTCTATTTCTGTCCCTTCTTTTTCTCTTTCTTTTCCCCCTTTATCCTTCCTTTTGTTCTTTCCCTTTCATTCTCTCCCCTCATACTTTTCCCTCCCTCCCATCTCCTTTCCCTTGCTTTTCTTCCTTTCCTCCCTTCTCCTCAAATACGTGCCACCTTGGCGCAACTAAGTGCTTCACTCTTTTTCTTTCTCGTTGTTTTGTGAATGAATGGTTTTACTTTACTGTATATTGGTTGTAATATTCATATAATGTATGCTTTATGTAATTGATTATGTTGTTTTTTATGTTTTGATTTTATTTGCTTCTGTGTTGTTGGGCTTGGCCTCATATAAGCTGCCCCTAGTCCCCGTTGTTTTTTTTTTTTATTATTATTATTATTATTATTATTATTATTATTACCTAGTGACATCACAGAGAGCCACTTCACCTAACAGCAGCCACAGCCAATCCTCTTTTTTCCTTTTTCCTCTGCTCTGGGCCCAAGCGGTTCCCTTGGCTGTGGAACTCCCTCCCTAGTGGGATTAGATCGGCCCCTTCCCTCTTGTCATTTTGTAAACAAGGGAAAACTTGGCATTGGAAGCAAGTATTTGGCCCAGCATAATTATCTCTGCAATTGATTGGATTGATGACTATGATTATCTGATTCCTTGGCTTTGGATCTATGCACAATGGTTGTCTAATGTTTACTATTATTATTTGTATTAATATGTGGTTTCTTTCTGAAAAGAAAGGGTTTGGCAGTCCTAAGAGCAGCCCACTTCCTGCCCCCAGAACTATGTCTCCCTGGGTGATGTTCCCACTACTGCTCTATGGGGACCCAAGGTTTCTTCTCTCTGGTGGGCAAAACAGGTTCACACAGTGGCACACTGGCATTGCAGTGCACTTTGAGGCCTCCCCTGATCCAGATGTGTCCCCAAATTGTGGACCTCTTGTGAGAATGGCCCTTGAGTGCATCCCATTGTTTCCTCTCTCTTAGGAAACTGTCTGTTCTTCGGCTGCCGCCAGAGAAGCAAGGATTTCTTCTGCCGGGAGGAATGGGAGGCACTGGTGGAGCGGGGCTCCCTGGTGCTCTTTGTGGCCTTCTCCCGGGATCAGGTAGGTTCCGGGTGAGAGAGATGTGCGTAACTCCAGAGTTTTTAGCCCATCAGAGGGGTCTCCTGGGGCCCCATACCCTCCTCCTCATGCCCTTCTCCCCTAGTCTATGAGAGATCTCTGTGGGAGAAGAACCTCACTGAGATGATAATAATAATCATCATCATCATCATCATCATCATCATCATCATCTTTATTTATTTCCCGCCTCCATCTCCCCAAGGGACTCAGAGTGGCTTACATGAGGCCAAGCCCAACAACACATCAATAAACAAGAAAGCAATAAACAAAAATAACAACAATACAGTTAAATAAATCACATATAAACATTAGCATGCAAGGATTTAAAAATCTATGGCCAGGCCAGATGTAATAGTTAAAAATAAATAAACACTGGGCATGAACAAGGTAGGCTATATCTAATAGGAGGGTTTTAAAGAAGTGAGGGGAGTGCAATCCAAGCAGATAATTAAAGTGTATTTGAGGACATTTTGCTGGGAATTATTTCCTTATTCCGGAAAGGCACACTGGAAGAGCTATGATTTCAGGCTCCTCCTAAAGACTGCCAATGTTGGGGCATGCCTGATATCCCTGGGAAGTGAGTAGTAGGCCTCAGTATGAGAAGACCTCATATGAGAAAGATGTCAAGTCTGAGAGAGTCCTCAGTGTGAGAAGGCCTCAGTGTGAGAAGGTCTCAGTGTGAGAAGGTCTCAGTGAAGGCCTCAGAAAGGCATAAACAAGAGATGGCTATCCAGCCTCGGCATCATCATCATCATCATCATCATCATCATCAAATCCAGAATGAGAAGGGACCCCCCAAAAGCCATCAAGTTCATCCCCATTCTGTCATAAAGGCAGGCACAATCAAATCCTTCCCGACACATGGTCATCCAGCCTAGAATCATAGAATCCTAGAGTTGGAAGAGACCTAGTGGGCCATCCAGTCCAACCTCATTCTACCAAGAAGCAGGAAAATTGCATTCAAAGCACCCCTGACAGATAGCCGTCTAGCCTCTGTTTAAAAGCTTCCAAAGAAGGAGCCTCCACCACACACCAGGGCAGAGAGTTCCACTGCTGAACAGCTCTCACAGTCAGGAAGTTCTTCCTAATGTTCAGATGGAATCTCCTCTCTTGTAGTTTGAAGCCATTGTTCTGCGTCCTAGTCTCCAGGGAAGCAGAAAACAAGCTTGCTCCCTCCTCCCTGTGACTTCCCCTGACATATTTATCCATGGCTATCATATCCCCTCTCCGCCTTCTCTTCTTCAGGCTAAACATGCCCAGCTCTTTAGGCCTCTCCTCATAGGGCTTGTTCTCCAGACCCTTGATCATTTTAGTCGCCCTCCTCTGGACTCATTCCAGCTTGTCAACATCTCCCTTCAGTTGTGGTACCCAGAATTGGACACAGTATTCCAGATGTGGTCTAACCAAAGCAGAATAGAGGAGTAGGACACGAGGTGTCAATGAGTCTGAGAAAGGAGCGCTGGGGAGAGATATTCTCCTTCCTCTGGGCCCGCCTGCAAACTTGACAAAGCAGAAGCCAGTGAACGTGCACACAGATATAATAATAATAATAATAATAATAATAATAATAATAATAATTCTTTCTTGGAGCAGCATTGCCAGGTTGCCGCTCGCCACTCTTCTAGTTATGGCTGGCACAGTTGGGTCCCTTTATTTGCTTGTGCAAAGCCATGCACAATCTGCCTGACCTTGGCCCCAGCCTGCGTTTGGCCTGACTCTCCGCCTTGCAGTCCTTTCCTTAGCTCCACATTCAAAGCATCAGGGTCCAGTTCCTAAAACATCTTATTAACATACTAGATGTGGGGAGTGCAGTGAAGTGTCGAGGAGTCCTGAAAATAAAATGAGGGGGTCTGTGTTAGCATCATACACTCAGACGTTTAGGCGAGTGGGCTTATTAAGAAAAGACCCTCCTCATAAATGCACAGCAGAGTAACTTAGCAGCAGCAGTGTGACCCAGCACCAGTAGCCCATAGGAGGCTTTTCTTTATAGCAAAATAATATGGTTGCCCTATTACAAAAACAAGGTTTCTATAACACAAATAAAGTTCTTTTTACTTCCTTTTTTTGCTTCCACACTGGGCTGCTTTCTCATGCAGATAAAACAGCTTTGCTCTCACAGAGCCCTTTCTCACACTGGTTACACAGTAGCTTTTTACACACAGCAGCCTTCACACTTGAGCTTCCTTTCACACTGAGATATTCTCATACTGAGGCCTACTAACACGGAGGCCTACCTCACACTGAGGCCTTTCTCCCACTGAGGCCTCATCACACTGAGAGCTTTCTCACACTGACAACTTTCTCACACTGAGGTGAACACTGAGGCCTTCTCACACTGAGGGCTCTCTCAGACTTGACACCTTTCTCTCACTGAGGCCTCTTCACACTGAGGCCTATCTCACACTGACACCTTTCTCACACTGAGGTGAACTAACACTGAGGCCTTCTTACACTGAGGGCTCTCTCAGACTTGACACTTTTCTCACACTGAAGCCTTCTCATACTGAGGCCTACTAACGCCCTTCTCCCACAAAAATCTCTCAGACTAAGGGCTACCTCAGACTTACAGCTGCTAAGCTACAGGCACACCTACTTATATTGAACTGCAGATTTTGCTGAATCGTTGCATCCGTGTAACCCTTTCAGTGCTTGACACTCATTTTTGTAATTAAAAATACCTAGTTAATTTTTAATATTTCCGATAAGAGACCCCAAGGGCCATCCCCTTCGGGCAGCCTCTGTTTAAAAGTCTCCACCACACTCTGAGGCAGAGAGTTCCCCTGTTGAACAGCTCTTCTTGCAGTCAAGATATTCTTCCTATTGTTTTGGTGGCATCTCCTTTCCTGACATTTGAATGCATGGCTCCAGTAAGCCCTAGTCTCCTGGCTTCTTTGTCATTGGCCCTTTCCCCAACTCCACTGCCTCTGCTTCTCCCTGAAAAGGGACATTCAAAGCAAGCCTTCACACTAGAGTTTCCTCTCACACTGAGGCTTACTAAGTAGTCACACTGAGGCCTTTCTCCCACTTTTTTTTGTCGTGTCAGGAGCAACGAGAAACTGCAAGTCGCTTCTGGTGTGAGAGAATTGGCCGTCTGCAAGGACGTTGCCCAGGGGACACCCGGATGATTTGATGTTTTTATCCTTGTGGGAGGCTTCTCTCATGACCCTGCATGAGAAGCTGGAGCTGATAGAGGGAGCTCATCAACCTCTCCCTGGATTTGAACCTGCAACCTGTCGGTCTTCAGTCCTGCTGGCACAGGGGTTTAACCCACTGCACCACTGGGGGGCCTCTCCCACTGAGGCCTCCTCCTACTGAGGACTCTCTCACACTGACATCTTTCTCACATACAGCCTCTGTTTAAAAGCCTCCACCACACTCTGAGGCAGAGAGTCACCCTGTTGAACAGCTCTTCTTGCACTCAGGATATTCTTCCCAATGTTTTGGTGGAATGTCCTTCCCTGTCATTTGAATGCATGGCTCCAATGAGTCCTAGTCTCCTGGCTTCATTGTCATTGGCCCTTTCCCCGACTTCACTGCCTGAAAGAGGACATTCAAAGCAAGTGCAAGCTCTGCATGGCTGCAGAATCTCCCTGCAGGGAACCCAGAAAGCGCTCATTTTCATGCTAGGTTTCTACCTGCAGGGATCCCAATGGCATCTCTCAAAGGGTATGTGTGTGTTTATCCCCTCTTGACTCCTCTTTGGTCAGCTAGGATCAAAGCCGGTGTGTTTAGCCTCAAAAGGAGGGACAGGAAGCCGCTCCTGCAACATCCAGATAATGGCAGGCGGGGCCCTGTCTTGCACCGGCATTCACTTGCAGTGGGACAACGTGTGCCGGAGCCATGTATGTGCTCTCCAAAGGAAGGCCTTGGGGGTTCCTCCCTTTGCTTCCCCGTTGAATCAGGAGCAGCTTGGCCTGTTTGTGCCACACCTGACAGCGGGATCTTGGCCTGGCCTCTCCCGCGGAAGTCAAAAGGGAAGCCGAGGCTTATCTGATGTCCCAATTGCTCCCTCCTTGTCCCACGAAATGGGAATTCTGAGGGGGGGGGGCTTACTCTTATGGATCAGACTTTTTGTGGTTGCCTTCAAAGGGCTGCTGAATCCACAAACGGAGAATCCATGGAGACAGAGAGAGGACCAAGTCTCATTTTTGTAACATCACTTCCATCTAGTTTGAGTCCCCAGATGTTATTCAACGACAACTCCCATCCTTTGTGATTATCCACCATTAGGATTGGGGATAGTGGGAATTGCAACCCAATTATAATTTATAATGTATAATAATATAATGCAATATAATACTACAAATAATAATAATTTATATAAATAAATATGTAATGTTCGTTTGTCAGATTGACGGAACTCCAAAACCACTGGACGAATTGACACCAAATTTGGACACAAGACACCTAACAACCCAATGTATGTCCTTCACTAAAAAAAAATGATTTTGTCATTTGGGAGTTGTAGTTGCTGGGATTTATAGTTCACCTGCAATCAAAGAACATTTTGAGCCCCACCAACGATGGAATTGAACCAAACTTGGCACACATTTCTCCCATGACCAACAGAAAATACTGGAAGGGTTTGGTGGGCAGTGTCTTTTGGTTTTGGAGTTGTAGTTCACCTGCGTCCAGAGATCACTGTGGATTCAAACAATGATGGATCTGGACCAAACTACAAGAATACCCAATATGCCCAAATGTGAACACTGGTGGAGTTTGGGGAAAATAGAATCTTGACATTTGGGAGTTGTAGTTGCTGGGATTTATAGTTCACCTACAATCACAGAGCATTCTGAACACCACCAACGATAGAATTGGGCCAAACCTCCCACACAGAACCCCCATGTGGGCCACAGCAACGCGTGACAGGGGACGGCTAGTAATGTAATATTACTAATAATACTACAATATAATGGTATAGTACAATATAGTAATATATAATACTGATATTGTGCTATGCTAATAACGTATTGTATGTATATATATCTTGCAACCCTCTCTGAGTCCCCTTCGCAGTGAGAAGGGCGGCATATAAATGTCATAAATAAATAAACAAATGAACTATCTTTTGGAGTGCCCTCCCATGACCCTTTCGGTGGTCTTCCTTCCTTCCAGGAGGAGAAGGTCTACGTCCAGCACCGCCTCCGGGAAAACAAGGCCCTCGTGTGGGACCTGGTGAAGCATCAAGGCGGCCATGTTTACCTGGCTGGGTGAGTGGCAAGAAGCAGTCAAAGAAGCCAAAGGCTGCGTCCTGCCTGGTTCACCTTGGATGGCCAGGCCCGAGACCCCCAACATCCCCCAAGATTCCCAATGACATCATGCTGGCCATAGCTAGCGGAGGAGGAAACCTCCCTGTAGATCAGACATGGGCCAACTTGGGCCCTCCAGGTGTTTTGGACTACAACTCCTACCATTCCTAACAACCTCAGGCCCCTTCCTTAAGCAGAAAAAGAAAGGGAAAAGGAAAAGGGGGTGGGATTTGATGGCCCCTTATGGTCTCTTCCTATATATAGGAAGAGACCATAAGGGGCCATCCAATCCCACCCCCTTCTGCCGGGCAGGAAGGCACCATCCAAGTCCTCCTGACAGAGGCCATCCAGCCTTTCCTTAATGTAGCTCCTTGAGTGGCTAGGTGCCAGGCTGGCTTCCTTTTGCCCTGTTCCCTTGCAAGAGTGTTACAGCTGAACCAAGTCCCCCAACTTGGCTGGGGACTCGGTTCCTGTGGGCCTCCCTCCTTGAACTTCCTGCAGTGCATTCATCAGCTTTAGGGATGCCAAGGCTGGTTCAGGTGATAGCCATGGGCCGTCTGGGTCACGGGTGGCCTGTCCCGATCCGTCAGGATTTCGGGAGGAAACCTCCACCTGTTTTCTTGCGTGAGCCAGTTTTCTGGGGCAAACGGGTTCTTCAACGTTCCTGGAGGCTCTGTCAGCCCTTGGGGAAGAAGCCAGTCTGAGAGAATGGGAGCCATTCTTCGTGGCTGGGCAAGATCTGACCTGGACTTCCCTCTTCCAACCTGGCTGACTCTCAAGTGTTTTGCAGCCACACCCATTCACGGTCCTCACTTCCCTTTCCAGGAATGCCAAGCAGATGCCAGAGGGTGTGACCGAAGCCTTGGTGTCCATCTTCCAGTCGGAAGGAGGCCTCTCTGCTTTGGAAGCCGAGGAGTACTTCCGGAGCATGGAACGCGAGGGCCGCTTCCAGGCCGAGACCTGGTCTTGAATGGATGCTGCGGAGACTGAGGTCAGGACCAATAAATCTAGACTGGTGCCATTGGTCTTGCTACTGGATTTTGGTTTTGTGGTGTGGAGAGCACCTTCCTTTACTTTCTCAAATCAAGGTGGAGTGGGCGGCAGGGAGGGAGGGGGTTATGTCCAGCCAATGAAGCCACATCTTGTTGGGTGAGTGGACTTAATAACAAAAGACCCTCCTCATAAATGCATAACAGAGTAACTTATTCGCAGCAGTGTGACCCAGCATCAGTAGCCCAAAAGTGATAAAAAACAAAAATACACAGACCAGGGTGATCACTTCCTTAGGAGGCTTTTCTTTATGGCAAAATAATATGCTTGCACTACTAAAAAAAAACAAAAAAACAAGGACTCCATGACACAAGCAAAGTACTTTATTCTTCCTTCTTTGCTTCCATGCTGGGCTTCTTTCTCATGCAGATAAACATTTATTTATTTATTTATTTGGGGCTTTTATATCCCGTCCTTTCTCAACCTTCGCAGGGGGACTCAGGACGGCTAACAAAGCGGCACCCCATGGCGCCCACATCAAAACATAAATATTCAATTTAACGGCAATGTAATTATTATTTTATTTTTTTATTTTATTTTATTTACTTCATTTATATACCGCTTTTCTCAGCCCTTGGGCGACTCAAAGCAGTTAAACAGTATAAACAGTATCAAACTGTATAAACAATATAAAAACAGACAACAAACAGTCAGTGGTCACCGATTTAAATCATTATCCAAGGGCAGTCCATAAGTCAACATGTCGGTAGGTCCTCTCCAAAGGCCTGATCCCATAGCCAGGAGTTTACTTGTTTCCGGAAGGCCAAGAGGGATGCAGCACATCTAATTTCGCTCGGGAGGGAGTTCCATAGCCTGGGGGCCACCACAGAAAAGGCCCTGTCCCTTGTCCTCACCAGACGCGATTGTGACAATGGGGGGACAACAAGCAGGGTCTTCTCAGATGATCTTAGGGCCCTAGGTGGATCGTAGCGGGAGATACATTTGGACAAGTAAACTGGGCCAGAACCGTTAAGGCAGTGGTTCTCAACCTGGGGTCCCCAGATGTTTTTAGCCTTCAATTCCCAGAAATCCTAACAGTTGGTAAACTGGCTGGGATTTCTGGGAGTTGTAGGCCAAAAACATCTGGGGACCCCAGGTTGAGAACCACTGCGTTAAGGGCTTTATAGGCCAAAGCCAGCACGGGAGCTGATAGGCAGCCAGTGGAGCTGGCGTAACAGAGCTTCTCTCACAACAAATCTTTCACAAAAGTTTCGCTCTGTACCTTTTTACACACAGCAGACTTCACACTGGAGCTTCAAACACTGAGGCCTTCTCACACTGAGGGCTTTCCCAGACTGACGCTTCTCTCACACACTGAGATGAATTAACACTTGAGTCCTTTTCATACTGAGGCCTCATAACACTGAGGCCCTGCTCTCACTTAGGCCTTCTCACACTGAGGGCTCTCTCACACTGAGGCTTTTCTCTCACAGACTGAGGACTACTAAGCTACAGGCACACCTGCTTATAATGAACTACAGCTTTTGCTAAGTCATTGTATTCATTTAACCCTTTCAGTGCTTATCTCACATTTTTGTAATTAAAAATACCTTGTTAATTTTTAATATTTCACACATATTTCCCCTCTTGTGAGGCAGAACAGTGGAGCTTTGGGGATGCAGAGACATATGGGAGGTACGTGAGAAGAAAGAGGGTGCTGCATGACCTCTGGGTGCCCTTTCTTCCTCTTCTCCCAACTGACTGGCTCTCTTGCATTCCTCTTCCTCCTCCTCCTGCCATCCACTTCCTCTTGCGCAGGAGTCATTGGGCCCAGGCTGGTGAGTCAGGAGGTGCCTGACCCAGATCCCTTCCTCCCTCCCTAATAAGTGGAACAAATGGGTGAGAAGAACAATTATGCTGCCCTCATGCCAAGGGAGGATGCTCACAGATGCAAGTATTAAGGGGTCGTGGCATTAGGTTTTGGTGGGCCGTTTGGGAGTTGTAGTTCACCTACATCCAGAGAGCACTGTGGTCTCAAAGAATGATGGGTCTGGACCAGACTTGGCACAGATACTCAATATGCCCAAATGTGAACACTGGTGGAGGTTCATTTATTTATTTATTTATTTGCAACATTTATACCCTGCCCTCTTTCACCCTGAAGGGGACTCAGAGCGGCTTACATGTAAATACAATATATTATTACCATAGCACAATATTAATATTATATATTTCTGTATTTTACCATATCATTATACTGTAAGATTATTAGTAATATTACATGTAATGTAAAATATATAATTATAATATCGTATTATTATTATTATTGGGGGAAATAGACCTTAACATTTGGGAGTTGTAGTTGCTGGGATTAATAGTTCACCTACAATCAAAGAGCATTCTGAATTCCACCAAAGATGGAATTGAACCAATCTTGACACACAGAACTCCCATGAACAACAGAAAATCCTGGAAGGGTTTGGTGGGATTGACCTTGAGTTTGGGAGTTGTAGTTCAACTACATCCAGAGAGCACTGTGGACTCAAAAAATGATGGATCTGGACCAAACTTGGCACGATTCTTCAATATGCCCAATTGTGAACACTGGTGGAGTTTGGGGAAAATAGACCTTTTCATTTGGGAGTTGTAGTTGCTGGGATTCAAAGAGCATTCTGAACTCCACCAAAGATGGAAATGAACCAAACTTGACACACAGAACTCCCATGAACAACAAAAAATATTGGAAGGGTTTGGTGAGCATTGACTTTGATTTTTGGAATTATAGTTCACCTACATCCAGAGAGCATTATGGATTCAAACAATGATGGATTTGGACCAAGCTTGGCATGAATACTCAATATGTCCAAATGTGAACACTGGTGGAGGTTTATTTATTTATTTATTTACGACATTTATATGCTGCCTTTCTCACCCTGAAGGGGACTCAGAGCGGCTTACAAGCAATATGTAAATACAATATATTATATTATTACCATAGCACAATTAGTATTATAGATTACTATATTGTACTATACCATTATACTGTAATATTATTAGTAGTACTGCATGTAATGTAAAATATATACTTATAATATTGTATTATTATTATTATTATTGGGGGAAATAGACCTTGACGTTTGGGAGTTGTAGTTGCTGGGATGTATAGTTCACCTACAATCAAAGAGCATTCTGAACCCCACCAAACTTTCCACACAGAGACCCCCATGCCTCTGGCACAAGCCTCCCTCCAGTCTCACATGCTCCCCCTTGCTCGCACATGCGCAACACCCTCAGTATACCCACATGTGAACAGTAGTGGTGTTTGGAGAAAGTAGACCTTGACATTTGGGAGTTGTAGTTCAACTATAGTCAAAGAGCATTCTAAACACCACCAACGGTAGAATTGGGGCAAACTTCCCACACAGAACCATCATGTCTTCAAGGGACTCGCTGGCACGAGCCTCACTCCAGCCTCACATGCTCTCCCTCACCCGCACATGTGCAACACGCTGCCATGTGCTTAGCATGCCTGCTCTCCCCTCCCCACTTGGAGTCTCAGAAACAGTCCTCCCCTTGGCTGAGAGGCCAGCCAATCACAGCAGGAGGAGGGCTTTTGGTGGGAGAATTCGTTGTCTATTTCCAAAAAGGAAGAGCAGGTCAGGCAGAGAGATCTTCAGCCTTCTCTGCCAAAGGAGTTCCTCGGACCATCAGAAATATGTGTTTTCTGATAGTCTTTGGTGACCCCTCTGAAACCCCCTCTTGACCCCCCCCCCAGGTTGAAAAACACTGCTTTAGAGAGGGAAGCTGCTCTCCCTCTCTCTCTTTGGGCTTCTTTCCAAACGAAATTACGCCCAGTACATTTGTAAGTGGAGGGCCAGGCTGTGCCGGGTAAGAGGCTCGACCTGTACCTTCACCTTGTTTTGGCTGCTGTTGAGGCCGTGCTTGGTACAGGAGGGGGGAGGAGGAGGCAGGAGGCCTAGCTGGGGCCTCACCTGAGTAGGTGGCTCCACCCCCACCTGGCTCACAGGAGCTGCTCTGTCCTGATTCGCTCAGAGCCCTGCATGCCGACACACCTGGCCTTTCCTGGGAACTGCCAGCCAGCTGCCTTCCTGTCTTCCATCGCTCCCTCCCTTTGAGTTGGCAGTCTTATTTGGCAGGTACAGAGGAGTGAGCCAGGAGCACAGAAGAAAAGGAGAAGGCGGCGAGTGCGGACCCAGGCCTTTTGAGAGACTTGTGGTGAGATTCCCAAAATGGGAGGTTGCTGCCCGCTGTCAGCAGTAGGCCCTCTGAGCTGGCAGAGGGCCTACTGAGGCTGTGGATACTGAGACCACCACGATGGGGACAGACCCCTTGGACTCCGAGGGCAGGGGCCTTGGGACGGACCCAGCTCTCAGCCCCAGTTTGGAGGAGATGGAGGCTGCTGGTCCCAGGGCCACATGCCTTTGGGGGCAAGAAGTGAAGTCAGAGGGGAAGATGCCCAGAAGCGGAGCCACAACGAAGGCCTTCTCGGAGGCAGAAAAGGTGGTGCCAACGGTGAGCTGCCTCCCAGGGTCCAGATGGGAAAAGGCAGACTATATTGAGGAGAAGGAAGGAGAGGAGAAGGAGGAAGTGCTGGGTCCAAACCGAGGAGCTGTGGAGCAGGAATTGCTTCTGGGCCTCAGTCCTTCGGCAGCCTCAGTTCCGCTTGCCCTCCCAGGCCAAGGTGGGTACAGATGGGAAGAGGCAGACTATATTGAGGAGGAGGAAGGAGTAGAGGAAGAAGAAGAGAAGGAGGAAGTCCTGGGTCCAAACCAAGGAGCTGCAGAGCGGGAACTGCTTCTAGGCCTCAGTCCTTTGGCAGCCTCAGCTCCCCTTGACCCCCCAGGCCAGGGTGGGTTCAGGTGGGAAGAGGGAGACTATATTGAGGAGGAAGGAGAAGAGAAGGGGGAAGTCCTGGGTCCAAACCGAGGAGCTGCGGAGTGGGAACCTCTTCTGGGCCTCAGTCCTTCGGCAGCCTCAGCTCCCCCTGACCTGGAAGGCCCTCTGCCCAGCAGTGCCAACATTCTGGAGTCCATTGAAGAGGCTGGGCATGGGCTTCCTTTAGGGGGTAGCACAGGAGCCGAGTCTCTGGTTGACACCTTGAAGGATGCAGTACTCCACAGACAAACAGAGAATGTAAACACAGAGGAGGAGACTACAAAGGAAGAAACTGAGGAGGAGGAGGAAGTGGGATTGGAATTGTGTTGCATCCAGGTGGAGGAGCCCCTTGAGGAGGTGGAGTGTCCCATCTGCATGGAGGCGGAGCAGTCTGAAGGCGAGGAGAAGGGGATCGCAGAGGAAGAGGTCGAGGAGGAGAAGGAGCAAATGGTAGTGGAGGAACTTGAAGGAGAAGATGGGGCAACAGTGGCACTGGAGTCCTGTTGCCTCCCAATGGAAGAGTCCCCAGAGGAGCCAGAGTGCCCCATCTGCACGGAGCCCTATGACCAGGAGGCCCACCGCCCAGCTCCCCTGAACTGCAGTCATGTCCTCTGCGGCAGGTGCCTGCAGGCCATCATGGAGGCCGGCAGCGCTGCTGACATCGGCCGGGTGCGCTGCCCCATCTGCCGCCAAAAGACCCCCATGATGGAGTGGGAGATCTGCCGGCTGCAGGAGGAGCTACTGCTGCTGGGGGCCTCTGAGGGTCCGACTGAAGAGATCCCCGTGGCAGCCTCCCTGCTCTTCCACCCGCTGCCCCCTCGGCGCCCGGGCTTCTGGGGTGGCCTAGAGCACCGTTTCCGGGTGCGCTTTCTCACCTCGCGCACTGTAGGCTGCCTGCCCTGCCTGCGCTACCCTCCGGGCCTGGTCCAGCGCCTGGAACACTTGGAGGGACGCTGCCGGTGGGGCTACCGCCTGGCTCTCTTGGCCTTGACGGCGGCCGATGCCCTCAGCCTCCTGCTGGTCTTCCTCCCCATCGCGCTCCTGCTCCTCCTTTTCCTCATCATGGACCAGTAGAGGATCTGGAACCAAGGCCTAGACCTGCATTTCTCAACCTGGGCGTCGGAAGACCTGGGGGGACGCGTGGAGGGGTGTCAGAGGGGTCATCAAAGACCATCGGAAAACAGCATTTTCTATTGGTCATGGGAGTTTAGCATGCCAAATTTGGTTCAATTCCATCATTGGTGGAGTCCAGAATGCTCTGAGTTTGTAGGTGAACTATAAATCCCAGCAACTACAACTCCAACACGTCAGGGTCTATTTTCCTCAAACTCCACCAGTGTTCACATCTGGAAATATTGAGTATCCGTGCCATGTTTGGTCCAGATCCATCATTGTTTGGGTCCACAGTGTTCTATGGATGTAGGTAAACTACAGCTTCCAAACACAATGCCCACCAAACCCTTCCAGTATTTTCTGTTGGTCATCGGAGTTCTGTGTAAGAAGTTTGGCCCAATTCAGTCATTGGTGGAGTTCAAAATCCTTTTTTATTGTAGGTGAACTATAAATCCCAGCAACTACAACTCCCAAATGACAAAATCAATTCCCCTCCCAACCCCACCAGCATTCAAATTTGGGCGTATCGGGTATTTATGCCCAATTTGAGTGGAAATGCATCCTGCATATCAGAGATTTACATGACAATTCATAACAGTAGCAAAATTACAGTTATGAAGTAGCAATGAAAATAATTTTATGGTTGGGGGTCACCACAACATGAGGAACTGTGTTAAGGGGTCGTGGCATTAGGAAGGTGGAGAAACACTGCTCCAGGGAGGTGGTGGAGGGGTACAAATAAATTATTGTTGTTAATGTTATGGTTAAGGATCACCACAACATGAGGAACTGGCATTAGGTTTTGGTGGGCAGTTTGGGAGTTGTAGTTCACCTACATCTGGAGAGCACTGTGGGCTCAAACAATGATGGCTCTGGACCAAACTTGACGCAGATACTCAATATGCCCAAATGTGAACACTGGTGGAGTTTGGGGAAATCAGACCTTGACATTTGGGAGTTGTAGTTGCTGGGGTTTATAGTTCACCTACAATCAAAGAACAGTATGAACTCCACCAACAACGGAATTGAACCAAATTTGACTCACAGAACTCCCGTGGTCAACTGAAAATACTGGAAGGGTTTGAAGGACATTGACCTTGAGTTCGGGAGCTGTAGTTCACCTACATCCAGAGAGCACTGTGGATTCAAACAAGGATGGATCTTGTTTGGCATGAATACCCAATATGCCCAAAAGTAAACACTGGTGGATTTTTGGAACAGTCCTTGACACTTGGGAATTGTAGTTGCTGGGATTTATAGTTCACGTACAATCAAAGAGCATGCTGAACCCCACCAATGATAGAATTGGGCCAAACTTCCCACACAGAACCCCCATGAACAGCATAAAATATTTTGTTTTCTGATGGTCTTTGGCGACCCTTTTGACACCCCCTTGCGACCCCCCCCCCCATGACCTCCCCCATGAGTCCTGACCCCCAGGTTGAGAAACGCTGGTCTAGAGGTTTCTAGGTGGGCATCCACGTACTAATCATCCTCATCAGAATATTGGATTGTTTGCACGGACCAAATCCAGAGGGCCCAGGGAAGGCAGGCAAACAACAGCCCCAGAAAATGCCCAGCACTCTGCAGCACTGCCTGATGGGAGCTGGAGTCAAGCCACACTTGGACTCCAAAGGAGTGACACATTGGAAAGGGAAACTTTCAGTGGTGGCCCATGTGCCAGGGGTTACCGAGGTGCAGGAAGAGTACCTCAAGGGCCTTGGTTTTGCCTTGTGCTGCTGTTTTAAATTAGTTTTTAATCAGTATTTATTATTACCATTTTCAGTATGAATGTGTGGTTTGTGAAAGCAATTATCTACAGGGCAAGGTGGGATATGCTGGAAGGGGTGGCATTGTGTAAGCAGAGGAAAATGCTTGCCGGGTGGGGTGGGGTCTGGTCCCATTCAGCACCCATTATCTTGAAAGGCTGGTGCTTGGTTTGCTGGGTGAGCCCTCCTTCCTGAAGATGAAAGGGCAGCCCACTCTGCACATGCTCCAGGGTGATCTTTCCCCTCTGGTTTCAGAAGTAAGCATTAGAAATAGAGCTGACTGTTGCCAGGCTCCTTCGGCTTCTTGTGTCTCAACTCCAAAAACAGAAGAATGAGGGGATTCTGGGAGTTGTACTGGGAGGGGGGTCACTTCAAAGTTTGGTTCAAAGCTCTTGCATTTTGTTGTCAAAGGATTTCATAGTTTGCTGTGATTTTTCCGGGCCATGTTCAAGAAGCATTCTCTCCTGACATTTCACCCACATCTGTGGCAGGCATCCTCGGGGGAATTCCAGACAGGAAACAATTAGGGCTAGCTAATCACCTCCCAACAAAGGATTCCTCCAGGCAGGAAGCAACCAGACTTTAAAGCTGCAAGGCCATTCAATACTAATTGAGCTAGCCAATTGCAATATTCACACTTGCCTCAAGCAGACAAGAGTTTGGTTCAAAACTCTTGCATTTCGTTGTCGAAGGCTTTCATGGTCAGAATCACTGGGTTGCTGTACATTTTCCAGGCCGTGTTCAAGAAGCATTCTCTGCTGACATTTCACCCACATCTATGGCAGGCATCCTCGGGGGAATTCCAGGCAGGAAACAATCAGGGCAAGCTAATCACCTCTCAACAAAGGATTCCTCCAGACAGGAAGCAGACAGGCTTTGAAGCTGCAAGGCCATTCAGTGCTAGTCAAGCTGGTCAATTGCAACATTCACACTTGCCTCAAGCAGACAAGAATTTGGTTCAAGCTCTTGCATTTCGTCGTCGAAGGCTTTCATGTCCAGTATCGCTGGGTCGCTGTGCGTTTTCCAGGCCATGTTCAGGAAGCATTCTCTCCTGACATTTCACCCACATCTGTGGCAGGCATCCTCAGGGGAGTTCCAGACAGGAAGCAATCAGGGCCAATTGCAACATTCACACTTGCCTCAAGCAGACAAGAGTTTGGTTCAAAGCTCTTGCATTTCGTTGTCGAAGGCTTTCATGTCCAGTATCACTGGGTTGCTGTGCGTTTTCTGGGCTGTCTGGCCATGTTCCAAAAGCATTCTCTCCTGACGTTTCAGCCACATCTATGGTTTGATTAGCATTGAATGGCTTTCAAAGCCTGGCTGCTTCCTGCCTGGGGGATCCTTTGTTGGGAAGTGATTAGCTGGCCCTGATGGTTCCCTGTCTGGAATTCCCCTAAGGATGCCTGTCATAGATGTGGGGAAAACGTCAGAAGAGAATGCTTCTGGAACATGACCAGACAGGGCAGAAAACGCACAGCGACCCAGTGACTTCAACTCCCACAATTGCATTTTCTTTGGCTTCCGGTGCCCTTTGCTCACTGCTTTTCCCTCTTTCTCTTCCTGTCCTAAATGCCATAACGCCTTGAGTTAGTGAAGGAACATGTCCAGCCTCCGGCCGTGCTGCGCTCTGGTCGCCAAAGGCAGGCGGAGAGTGGCTCAGAGGCCTTGCAGTGCTTTGCGCGAGTCAGTGATGGGCACCAGATGAGATGCCCTTCGGCCTGGCTTTCAAAAGACGGAGTGGGAGCAAAGGAAAGGAAAGTGGACCGTTGGAAGCACCCAATTCTGGAAAAGGCCATGTGTGCTCATGTGCAAAAACCCCAGGACACATTGGGCTCCTCAAAGACGCACGAAGATGGAAAGAGGCCTTGCCTGCAGCTTTCTGCTCATTTGCTTGTTTACAAGGAGAGCCAAGGAGGCCTAATTGAATCAGAGCCATGCGCAGCGCATCCCTGCCCACGGAGAAGCTGCCTGGAAAGCAAGGAGAAGAAAGAGGAGGATGGCAGTCGCCAAGAGCAGCTTGCAGACTGGTCAAATTGCCATTGAGGGCCACTGCAAGCCGATATACTGCAATGTGGCAAGAGAGTGACAGGACTGTTAGAAGGACAGAATCCACGCCTGGAATTGTTTTGGAGCCTAGAACTGAGGCCTCAATATTGTTTTGGAGCCTAGAACTGAGGATTTACATCTCTGAGCTCTCTAGATCAGGCATGGGCAAACTTGGGCCCTCCAGGCGTTTTGGACTTCAACTCCCACAATTCCTAACACGGCTGTTAGGAATTGTGGGAGTTGAAGTCCAAAACGCCTGGAGGGCCCAAGTTTGCCCATGCCTCATCTAGATCCAGGAGAAGTTGATCCAAAGAGCCCAGCAAGTTGCAGCTGAGCATGAAAAGTATACAGTGTTCCCTCACTTATTGCGAGGGTTACGTTCCTTCCTTTGCTCCCTCTTTCCTTCCTTCCTTCTTCTTTCCTTCTCTCCTTCCTTCTTCTCTACCTCTTTCCTTCCTTGCCCCTTTTTTTCTTTTCCTTCCCTTTTTCTCTCCTTTCTTTCCCTCTCTTTCCTTCTTCCTTCCTTTTTTGCTTCCATCCTTCCTTCTCTTCTTTCCTTCTTTCTTCTCCCTCTTTCTCTCCTTCTTTTCCTCTTTCCTTCCTCCTTTTTTCTTTCTCCTTCCTTTCTTCCTTCTCTACCTCTTTTCTCCTTCTTCCTCTTTGCTTCCTTTCCCTTTCCTCTTTCCCCTCTCTCTTTCTTTTCTTTCTTTCTTTCTTTCTCCCCTTCCTTCCTTTTTATTTCTATATTGTCATTTAGCTTTTCGTCATTTAGCTTATTTGGGTTTTTAAGTCCTTTCCACTGTTTTTTGGGGGGATTTTATGAGTGATGGTCACTCGTTGGTCTGTTAGGGGTATAGTGTCCAAATTTTGTGTCAATTAGTCCAATGGCTTTTGAGTTATGTTAATCCCACAAACGAACATTACATTTTTATTTATATAGATTTTAGTAGTTATACACTATTTTAAGTCTTTCTAAACTTAAAATAAAGTGAAGGAAAGGAAGGAAAAGCCCTTCAAGGCTGGAGGGAGGGAGGACCGAGGAAGTAAAGCGCCTCGGAGAGCGGCGTGACAAAAACCCGCGAAACAGTGAAAATACCATAATATATATTTTAAATTAATATTTTTTGAAAACCGCAAAACAGCTGGTCCGCTAAAAGTGAACCGTGAAGTAGCGAGAGAACAGTGTATCGTGGGTGTTGTGTTTCAGGACCACCCGCGAAAAGCGAAAATCCACAAAGTAGGGACGCTATATATGTATATAGCGTTCCGACGGTGAGGCAAAAGAGAGGAGAGATTTAAAGACACCACACACTTTTTTTTTTTTGCTAGCTGTCTCTGCTTTGCTTTGCAATCTCTCTTGATTGGCTACCTCTCTTCCACGCTCCATCGTTGCCACGAGGCGGGATTAGAATGCCGGTCAGGGCAACCATTCCTAAACTGGGAGGCCAAAACCCGCAAAACAGCGAGTCTGCAAAAAGCGAACCACAAAGTAGCGAGGGGACACTGTATTCAAGACCTTCGGAGCAAAATGAAGGCAGGAGAGGAGCCCCAAAGGCCAGACTGGGCCAGTGGAGGCTCCCCAAAGCAAGGAGGTGAGTGGACAATAGGAAATGGGTAACAAACTCCCCTCCGAGTTTAGCAATGGCCAACTCCTGTTGCCCGGCCTGGCACCAGATCTCCTTGCCCCTTCCAGAAAGCAGGAGGTTCCAGAGCCAAGTTTGCCAAGTGGCCAGGCAACGGGGGACTGCGGTGGGCATCGCTCCCAGGAGGGAGAGAAACAGAAGGAGAGTCTTGCATTATCACGCACATACACACATGCATGGTTTCCCCAAATTGCATTTGTTGTGCTTGCAGGTCCTACTTGCCTCCTTCTCCTCCTCGTCCTCTCATAGACACTCATCCCACCAACCTCCAGAGTCCGACACAATTAGACTTAATGTCAGGGAAAAACCTGTACCTTTGCATCATCATTATTACCATCATCATCATTATTATTGCTGGAGCATGTGTGTTGAAAATTCATCATGTCAGTGCTAGCTAATTAGCCTCCTTGTTTGTTCCCATCGTCTATGAGAAGATTTGTGGCCTTACTGTGTCAACGCTGGCTCTTCAGCTTAGAAATGGAGATGAGAATCACAGAATCATAGACTCCTAGAGTTGGAAGAGACCTGATGGGCCATCCAGTCCAGCCCCATTCTGCCAAGAAGCAGGAAAATCGCATTCAAAGCACCCCTGACAGATGGCCACCCAGCCTCTGCTTCAAAGCCTCCAAAGAAGGAGCCTCTGCCACATTCCAGGACAGAGAGTTCCACTTCTGGACAGCTCTCTCTCACAGTCAGGAAGTTCTTCCTCCTGTTCAGGTGGAATCTCCTTTCCTGTCATTTGGAGCCATTGTTCCATTGCATCCTAGTCTCCTGAGCAGCAGAAAACAAGCTTGTTCGAAAGACGCAAGGACCATAGAGGAGACTGACCCCACCACTTTCCCTGCTGGTTTTGCCTCTTTTTCCCAATTAGGACCGTGCTGCTGGGGGGCAGGTTTTTTAAATCCAGGGTCCTCCAAATGCCTCCCTCTGTTTACCCCATGGATTCTCCCTCTTGTCCTTGCATTTCTGGATCTAGCATATGTACAACATGCAGGCCCAAGTTCACCTTATACTGGCATGAGGATTTTTTGGGCAGGTAAAAGCCAATAATGACCAAAGCACCCTCCTCTAATGTAACCCCCTTCCAGCCATTCTGTGGTGGATGGAGAGCTGGATGGGGAAGCATATTATTATTATTATTATTATTATTATTATTACTATTATGAGGAGAGGAGCCCCTGGTGATGCAGCAAGTTGAACTGCTGTGCTGCTGAACTTGCTGACCGAAAGGTCGGAGGTTCGAATCTGGAGAGTGGGGTGAGCTCTCGCTGTTAGCCCCAGCTCCTGCCAACCTAGCAGCTCGAAAACATGCAAATGTGAGTACATCAATAAGTACCACTCCAGCGGGAAGGTAACAGCACTCCATGCAGTCATCCTGGCTACATGACCTTGGAGGTGTCTATGGGCAACACCGGCTCTTTAGCTTAGAAATGGAGATGAGCACCAACCCCCAAAGTCAGACACAACTAGACAATGTCAGGGGAAAACCTGTACCTTTATATTATTATTATTATTATTATTATTATTATTATTATTATTATTATTATTACTGCTGGAGCATGTGTGTTGAACATTCATTATAACAGTGCTAGCTAATCACCCTCCTTTTTTGTTCCCATTGCCTATGAGAAGATTTGTGGCCTTGCTGTGTCAACGCCAGCTCTTCAGCTTAGAAATGGAGATGAGCACCACCCCCCAGACTTAATGTCCAGGGGAAACCTTCACTTAGTAGTAGTAGTAGTAGTAGTAGTAGTACCAGTAGTAGTATATTTATTTGTATCCTACTTTCCTCTCCTAAACGGGACTCAAAATGGCTGGCATTGTATAGAGCTGCATGCCTTTGGGCCTGGCTTCTGAACAGAGGGCTCTTACAGGAACGAGCTGGACCTTGCCCCCATCATTTGGGGCCACCTCTGCACAAATACAAGACCGAGGCACCTCACCCAGGGGTCCCTCTGGCCTCCTCTCACAGCAAATTGAGGCCTCCTCTCTTTCTTGGCATGACCCCCCTGCGAGGGAGACTCGCCCCCTCTCCAAACACACAGCACTTGCTCAGCATCCCGCTAGTGGGAAGAAGGCAGCCTGCTTCTGGATCAAGGCCTTCCCATTGATCACTCTCCCGACCCAAAGGCAACCCAAGGAGGAGGAGGAATTTGGCAACCGCAATCTGTTTTATTGGGTGCAAAGGGCCAACGGGGAGTGTCTCTGAAAGAGCGCCCCAAAATGAGGAACGTGGAAAAAGAGAAAGAGCCCCCCACCCCCCATCCTTTGTCCCTTGGTTCTACGGAAGAGGAGCGGAGGCTGGCATCTGACAAGGCCGTCTCTTGGCAAATTGTTTCCGGTTGGCAGCGGCACCAAGTCGGACCCCCAAACGGCTTGGCCACAGAGACAGAAGCTTTGGCAAATAACATATGAGCTCCCATCCGGCTCCTGGCACAGGCCCCATTGGCCTCTGTCTTTACCCTTGGCAACCGCTCTTCCTCCAGAGTCCTGTGGTCACAATCCTGTGCAATGATGGACCTTACATTTCCCAACAGGGAGAAAAGGGGCTGGAGGTGGAACAAAGAGGGAAGCGAGATGGTGGTGGAGGCGGTGGAGGGCCTTGTGGCCCCTGTGCTCTTCTTCCTTCTGTCCTGCACCGAGCCTCTCTCCTTTCCTGGCATCAAGGTGACCCCTAATCCAGGCCCACTCCCCATATTCCCCTCTTAGGCCACAAAGCAATGGCCCTTGCTGCAGAGTCCCCGCATTGCTTAGCAGATTGAGTCTCAGGTTCCTCTCTGTGCAAACGGCCCTTGGTCCAGAAGGGAGACAGAAGGGAGAGGGTGCAATGGCAGGGCCCCACTGTCCACGGCTCACATGATGGTGCAGGAGGAGAGCGGGTTGCGGACGTGGCAGGTGCAGGCGGCACCGCAGTACTGGCGGAAGGTCTGGTAGCAGCTGCGGTCGGCCTCGCTGCTCCACTGGACGGGGTTCCCGGGGCCAGCCAGGGCCTCGGCGGGCAGGCGGTTGAGGATGCTGGTGTTGACGGCCAGGGCGGCCAGGCCGTAGTCGGTGAAGAGGACGGTCTCGCGCTTGCAGGTGGGGCAGGAGATGAACTTGTACTTGGGGCAGGACTCGTAGAGGATCTGCAGGCACTCCTCGCAGACCGAGTGCAGGCAGGAGAGGATGCGCGGCCGCTTGTGGGTGAAGTTGTAGCGGTGGCCGCAGGTGGGACACTCCAGGGGCTCGCAGGGCGATGCCGGCGGTGGTGGGGGCAGCGGCGGAGGGGGCTGCAAAGCGTACTGGTTGGCGATCACCTCATCTGAAGACGGGGAGCAGGAGGAGGGGGCTGGCGGCAGCGGCAAGGGTGGCGGGGGCCGGTGGAAGCAGATGCGCTCTCCGCGCCGGGGCAGGGGGGGCGTCCGGGGGAGCCCCAGAGGGCCGGGGGGGTCCAGCGCCGGGAGATCCCCCCCACAGGCCTGGTTGACGATGATCTCCGGCTCGGAGGGCCAGGCTCGCTTGGCGGCCAGGGGAGGCTCGCGGCGGGGTGCCGGGGCAAAACAGCGCGAGGAAGCAGGTCCCACTCCGACGCCCTGGCGCTCCGGAGGGAACTTCTCTGGGTGGATGATCTTCATGGCCTCCATCTTGAGCATGACCTGCTGCCCCTTCAGGCAGGACATGAGCAGGCTCTTGACATGGCTCTCGGGGGGGCGGCCGGGCTCCCCCAGGACCCCCTCCTGCATGGGGCTAGGCGGCCGCGGGGCCGTCTGCAGCAGGCCGGGCTTTGAAGCGGGCGCGGGACGTGAAGCGGCAGCGCTGGAGAACGCCCCCGGAGCCACCGCCCCCGGGGCGCATCGTGGGCCCAAGGTAGCAAAAATGGCTGCTTCCCGGGGCGGGAGGGGGAGGACGGCGGCGAGAATGGCGCTGGCCACTGATAAGCCCCCCAGGGGGTGATGCGAATCCCCGGCGGGGCCCCTAACAATAGCCCTCCTCCAGCATCTCTGAAGTCTTGGAGGCAGACCTGAGGCAGCTGAGGGCCTGGGGCACCTGCTCGGCAGGTGAGTCCCACATGCAGCCGCCTCAAGGGCCGGCTGGAATTCCTGGACGAGGCCCCAGGAGAAKGTGTTTGGCAAATTCCTGAGCTCTGACCTCAACCTCTCCYCCACACAGAGCAGAGTGGAACACAACAGAGTGCCTTCCTCCCCTCCAGGTGCTGGTCAAGACTCTCCGGCCGGGTGTTGAGGGRTGGTCAGACGTCTGGCTTAAAAGGTGGGCATCCGGCAAAGTGGACGTCTCTCTTCCTCTCGTTCGCAGCCCCTCGGGTCAGCCTGGAAGACAAAGCAAAATGGCTTTACAGACCTGATGGTGTCAAGACCCTGAGGCTTCACGGCTGCCTCAGTCTAAAGCAGTGTTTTTCAACCTTCCTAATGCCACAACCCCTTAATACMGTTTCTCTTGTTTTGGTGACCCCCAACCATAATATTATTTTCATTGCTACTTCATAACAGCAATTTTGCTACTGTTATGAATCATGGAATCATAGAGATGGARGAGATCTTGTGGGCCATCCAGTCCAACCCCATTCTGCCAAGAAGCAGGAAAATTGCATTCAAAGCACCCCCGACAGAAGGCCATCCGGCCTCTGCGTCAAAGCCTCCAAAGAAGGAGCCTCCACCACACTCCGGGGCAGAGAGTTCCACTGCTGAACGGCTCTCACAGTCAGGAAGTTCTTCCTCATGTTCAGATGGAATCTCCTTTCTTGTAGTTTGAAGCGTCCTAGTTTCCAGGGCAGCAGAAAACAAGCTTGCTCCCTCCTCCCTGTGACTTCCCCTCACATATTTATACATGGCTATCATATCTCCTCTCAGCCTTCTATTCTTCAGGCTAAACATGCCCAGCTCCTTAAGCCGCTCCTCATAGGGCTTGTTCTCCAGACCCTTTATCATTTTAGTCGCTCTCCTCTGGACTTCCCCTCACATATTTATACATGGCTATTATTTTTATTGTTATTATTATTAAACTTTATTTATACCCCGCCACCATCTCCCCAAGGGGACTCGGGTGGCTTACATGAGGCCAAGCCCAACAATACAACACTGCAAATAAACAACATGCAACAACAGTAAAATATAAAAATTAAAAATAAAATACAAGAAACAATATAAATAAACATCAAGCAATGTGCCCTCATCATGTCTCCTCTCAGCCTTCCCTTCTTCAAGCTAAACATGTCCAGCTCTTTAAGCCGCTCCTCATAGGGCTTGTTCTCCAGACCCTTGATCATTTTAGTCACCCTCCTCTGGACACAATCCAGCTTGTCAACATCTCCCTTCAATTGCAGTGCCCAGAATTAGACACAGTGTGGTTCCAGGTATGGTCTAACCAAGGCAGAATAGAGGGGTAACATAACTTCCCTGGATCTAGACACTAGAATCCTATTGATGCTGGCCAAAATCCCACTGGCTTTTTTTGCTGCCGCATCACATTGTTGGCTCATGGTAAACTTTTGGGAGTTGTAGTTGCTGGGATTTATCAATCAAAGAGCATTCTGAACTCCACCAATAATGGAATTGAACCAAACTTGGCACACAGAACACCCATGACCAACAAAAAATACTGGAAGGATTTGGTGGGCATTGACCTTGAGTTTGGGAGTTGTAGTTCACTCAAACAAATTATAGATCTGGACCAAACTTGGCACAAATACTCAATATGCCCAACTATGAACACTGGTGGAGTTTGAGGAAACTAGACCTTGAAATTTTGGATTTGTGGTTGCTGGGATTTATAGTTCGCCTACAAGCAAAGAGCTGGTAGGCTGCTAGGAATTGTGGGAGATGAAGTCCAAAAACCCCTGGAGGGCCCAAGTTGGCCCACACGTAATAGACAGCATTCCTTGGACAGAAACCTATTGGGGTGACCTTGGGAGGGTCACACTCTCTCAGACACAGGAATAACACATCCTCATAGGGTTAAGGCTTTTTGCAGGGCTCGGTTGCCCCCCCGAAAAGCAAAGCAGAAGAGCCCTGTGTGACTCAGAAGGAGCCCTGGTTTCGAAAAGGGAACTTAAGCAAATGGAGCTAAAGCCCATGCCAGGCCTTTACCCAGATCCAGGACCCTGGAGAGCTCCTCTGCAGCCCAGAGCCCTACCAGGAAGGGGATGGCACTTGGGGCCGCTCTGCATATGCTCAGGGGCCAGCTGCCCTCACTTTCCTTTGCATGGAGAGCTCTCCTACAGCCCTGCACTTGGGGCGCTCTGCACATGCTCAGGGGCCACCTACGATAGCTGAAATCATGCATCCAAGCTCCCCTCACTCAGCTCGCGGCCTCGGCTCTGGGCAGATGTTTGTGCGTTGCGTGTGCACCCAGTACTGGAGCGTCGGCTTCCTTCCTGCGGGGTGGGTTTCGTAACTCTTCAGCTTCAGCAAGGACCGGCTCGTTTTGAGGGCTTTGAGGCTGAGGCTTGTGGCCACTAGGAGCCTGCAAACGGAAGCAGGCCCTGTGCATCAGAGCTCCAAACATCTCCAAAGGACTACAAATGCCTTTACTAAGAAAACAGGTCCGCTTTGGGGTTGCAGGGACTGCCAAGAGCAGAAAGCCAGCGATTCTGCTACGGGGAAGGGGCCCAGCAATGTACCCTCCCAACAAAATCATGGAAGGCTGTTTCAGGCTCCAAACCAGGGAGCAAAGCCAGGGACTGGTGTTGCTCAGGTTGACGCTCCTTTCTTTCTCAACCTGGGGGTCGCGAGGGGGTTTCAGAGGGATCACCAAAGACCATCAGGTCTTAGGAAGCCCTTTGGTTTCACAGTGCTTTTTAGAACTCTCTTGCTTTGCTATTAGGATCAACCCGGTCCTGCAAAAGCCTGTTTCCCTACCTTATGAGGAAGTGTTATTCCTGAGGCTGAGAGAGTGCGACTCTCCCAAGGTCTCTCCTAAATCACTGTCAATTCACCCAAATCCTTCCAGTATTTTTTGCTGGTCATGGGGATACTGTGTGGGAAGTTTGCCCCAATTCTATCCTTGCTGGGGTTCAAGGAGCTCTTTGATTGTAGGTGAACTAGAAATCCCAGCAACTACAACTCTCAAATGTCAAGGTCTATTTTCTCCAAACTCCACCAGTGTTCACATGTGGGCATATTGAGTGTTTGTGCCAAGTTTGGTCCAGATCTATCATTGTTTGAGTCTGGATGAAGGTGAACTACAACTCCCAAACCCTTCCAGTATTTTCTGTTGGTCGTGGGAGTTCTGTGGGACAAGTTTGGTTCAATTCCATTGTTGATGGAGTTCAGAATGCTCTTTTATGGCAGGCGAACTATAAATCCCAGCAACTACAACTCCAAAGGGCCAAGGTCTGTTTTCCCCAAAGTCCACCAGTGTTCACATTTGGGCATATTGAATATTCATGCCACATTTGGTCCAGATCCATCATTGTTTAAGTCCACGGTGCTCTCTGGGTTTAGGTGAACTACAACTCCCAAACTCAAGGTCAATGCCCTTCAACCCTTCCAGTATTTTCTGTTCGTCATGGGAGTTCTGTGGGCCAAGTTTGGTTCAATTCCATTGATAGTGGAGTTCAGAATGCTCTTTGATTGTAGGTGAACTATAAAACCCAGCAACTACATCTCCCAAATGCCAAGGTCTGTTTTCCCCAAACCCCATCAGTGTTCACATTTGGGCATATTGGATATTTGTGCCAAGTTTGGTCCGGATCCATCCTTATTTGAGCCCACAGTGCTCTCTGGGTGTAGGTGAACTACAACTCCCAAACTCAAGGTCAAGGCCCTCCAAACCCTTCCAGTATTTTCTGTTGTGGGCCAAGTCTGGTTCAATTCCATTGTTGGCAGGGTTCAGAATGCTCTTTGGCAAGCGAAATCCCAGCAACTACAACTCCCAAGTGGCAAAATCATCTCCTCCAACCCCACCAGTATTCAAATTTCAGTAATGTGGTCCAGTGATGTGTCAAGCCCTCCCGACAGAGGGCCAGCTAGCCACATAACAGATAGGATGACATATGTATTTGGTATAGACACCAAATGTCAGATATTGACATGAGGATTCCCAAGAGGAGCAAAATGCCAGTTATGGAAATAGCAAGGAAAATAATTTTTATGGTTGGGGGGTCATGAGGAGCTGTCTGAAGGGGTCTCAGCATTGAGAAACACAGGCCTAGAATAGAGTGGGGGGAAAGGAAGCCCCTTGCATTGCAGGGAGGCTCCCTTGTTTACCTTGSCAGCCCTCCCCCTTCCCCTCCCAAAATAGATCCAATGCCCCTCCCGACAGCCCCCTCCCCTGGCCCTGCCCCTCCCTTCCCCGCTCACCTGCCAATCTTCCCCCCTCCTTTTGGAAGGAGGATGCTGCAGAGGAGGATGCTGCTCTTTGCAAAGATGCAATGCTCGGGCCTCCTTGAAGGCCAGGGGTTGCTAGGCTCCGCCGTTCCGCGCCCCGCCCGCCCCCCCTCCGCTGCTCTTCCCCCCCGTGGCGCTCCCCCCTCCTCTCTCAATCTCAATCCCAATCCTCAATGGCTCTCTTCTGGGTTCCTCCGCAGTCGGCGCAGCAGCATCAGCAGCACTGCAGTGCCCTCCGCCGCGCCTCCCTCCTTTCTCTGCAAAAGCCCAGGGGCGGAGGGAGAAGCAGAGAGGGAGAGAGAGAGGCTCCGCTGGGTCCCAGCGCCTGCCGCTTTCCCTTCTTGTCTCCAAGGGGAAGGGGCTAAGGGGGAAGAGCCAGGCAGGAAGGCACCACCCAAGCCCTCCCGACAGATGGCCAGCCAGCCATAGGTATGATTGAGAGAGAAAGAGAGTGAGAGAGATGACTGAGAGAGAAATGTATGACATATTTCATCAGCTAGATGAGACCCCCAAGGGCCATTTAGTCCAATCCCCTCAGAAAGTATCATCCAATCTCTCCTGACAGATGGCCAGCCAGCCATAGGTATGAYTGAGAGAGAAAGAGAGTGAGAGAGATGACTGAGAGGGAAATGTATGACATATTTCATGAGGTGGATGAGACCCCCAAGGGCCATTTAGTCCAACCCCCTTAGAAAGGATCATCCAATCTCTCCTGACAGATGGCCAGCCAGCCATAGGTATAATTGAGAGAGACATGATAGATAAGATATGATTGAGAGGGAAATGTATGACATATTTCATGGGCTGGATGAGACCCCCAGGGCCATCTAGTCCAATCCTCTTAGAAAGGATCTCTCCTGACAGATGACCAGCCAGCCATAGATGTGATTGAGATATAACACATGTATATGATATATAGAGAATAGTCGAAAGGGATCCCCAAAGGCCATCCAGTCCAACCCACTTCTTCCACAAAGAAAGGCATGAGCTGGATGAGACTCCCAAGGGCCATTTAGTCCAACCCCCTCAGAAAGGATCATCCAATCTCTCCTGACATATGGCCAGCCAGCCATCCATAGGTATGATTGAGAGAGAGATGATAGATAGATAGATATGATTGAGAGGGAAATGTATGACATATTTCATGAGCTGGATGAGACCCTCAAGGGCTATTTAGTCCAACCCCCCTCCGAAAGGATCATTCAATCTCTCCCGACAGATGGCCAGCCAGCCATAGGTATAATTGAGAGAGAGAGAGAGATGACTGAGAGGGAAATGTATGACATCTTTCATGAGCTGGATGAGATCCCCAAGGGTCATTTTGTCCAACCTCCTTAGAAAGGATCATCCAATCTCTCCTGACAGATGGCCAGCCAGCCATAGGTATGATTGAGAGAGATATGATAGATAAGTTATGATTGAGAGGGAAATGTATGACATATTTCATGAGCTGGATGAGACCCCCAAGGGCCATTTAGTCCTTAGAAAGGATCATTCAACCAGCCATAGATATGATTGAGATAGACATATGTATATGATATATAGAGAATCCTAGAGTCGAAAGGGACCCCAAAGGCCATCCAGTCCAACCCCTTTCTGCCAGGGAGCAGGACACCATCCAAGCCCTCCCGACAGATGTCCATCCGGCCACATAATAGATAGAATGACATATGTATTTGGTACAGAATCATAGATTTGGATAAGAAATATGCATATATATGATACATAGGGAATCCTAGAATTGAAAGGGACCCCCAAAAGCCATCCAGTCAAACCCCCTTCTGTCAGAAAGTAGGGCACCATCCAAGCCCTCCCGACAGATGGCTGTCCAGCCATAGGTATGATTGAGAGAGAGATGTTAGATAGACAGATATGATGGAGAGGGAAATGTATGACATATTTCATGAGCTGGATGAGAATCCCAAGGGCCATTTAGTTCAACCCCCTCAGAAAGGATAATCCAATCTCTCCTGACAGATAACCAGCCAGTCATAGATATGATTGAGATATACATGTGTATATGATATATAGAGAATCCTAGAGTTGGAAGGGACCTCTAAAGGCCATCTAGTCCAACCCTATCTGCCAGGCAGGAAGACACCATCCAAGCCCACCCGACAGATGACCATCCAGCCATATATATGATTGAGAGAGAGAGGGAGGGATGACAGCTAGATATATCATAGATGTATCGTATCTTAGAGCTGGAAGAGATTTCAATGGCCATCCAGTCCAACCCCATTCCATCATGGAAGACACCATCCAAGCCTTCCCTACAGATGACCATCCAGCCATATGTATGATTGAGAGAGAGGACAGATATGTCATATCATAGAGCTGGAAGAGATCCCAAAGCCTATCAAGTCCAAACCCACTCCATCATGGAACACCATCCAAGCCCTCCCGACAGATGACCATCCAGCCATATATATGATTGAGAGAGAGAGACGACAGCTAGATATATCATAGATATATCTTAGAGCTGGAAGATATCTCAGTGGCCATCCAGTCCAATCTCATTCCATCATGGAAGACGCCATCGAAGTCTTCCCAACAGATGATCATCCAGTCATATATATGATTGACTGAGAGAGAGAGAGAGAGATGACAGCTAGATATATCATAGATATATTGTATCTTAGAGCTGGAAGAGATCTCAATGGCGATCCAGTCCAATCCCATTCCATCATGGATGACACCATCCAAGCCTTCCCTACAGATGACCATCCAGCCATATGTATGATTGAGAGAGAGAGAGAGATGACAGATAGATATATAGTACCTTAGAGCTGGAAGAGATCCCAAAGGCCATCCAGTCCAACCCCATTCCATCATGGAAGACACCATCAAAGCCCTCCTGACAGATGGCCAGCTAGCCATAGATATATTACACATGACAGTGAGAGAGGATCGATATGATTGAGAGGAACATGGACAAGTAGAAGAGTCAAGTAAAAGTTGGCAGTGTTGGTGGTGAGGGAGAAAGTCTTCTGCACGTGCTCAGAGGCATTCACTCTTCATGATCTTTGTGCTTGGAAAGAGGGCCCAGCACCCGCACCGGGCTCCACTTCTTCCCCCCCAAAAATGTCCCTCTGGACCAGTCTTACCTGTTTCTCTGAGCAAACAGGGCTTGGAAAGGGACATCCGCGTGTTTTTTCCTCCATTTCCCCATTTTCCACGCAACCCTTGGCCTTGTTTCCCTGAATAACCAGTTGGCTTTGATTCGGGGCAAAAGGTTTCCACTTGGGGCAGAAAAGGAGGAGGAGGAAGGGCAGCCGAGATGCAAAAGATGAAGGGAAGGACACAAGAGAGAAACCTGAACACCTCTGAACCGGTTTGTGCCAAATGCAAACAAGAGGCAGTTGGGAAAGGCACAATTAAAGCAGGATCCCGAGATCGTTACTTAAAGAATCATAACAAAGGTTCCAAGGAAAAGAAATCATGTCTTCCTGCAGCAAGAAAGTTAAAATGAGGGAAGCGCTCGGCCCCAAGGAGCCTACACTTGGCCTGCGTTGCAAGGATGGGAAGAGTTAGCAATGGAATGGAAGGATGGAAGGGAAAGGAAGGAAAAGGGGAAGCAAGGAAGGAAGAAAATATAGGAAAGAATGGAGAGGAAGGAAGGAAGTAAAGGAAGGAAGGGAAGGAAAATTAAGTGCAAGGAAGGAAAGAAAGAAAAGGAAAGGATGGTAGGGAAGGAAGGAATGGGAAAGGCAGGAATTAAAGTTGAAAGGGAAGGAATGAAGGAAATAAAGGAAAGGATGGAATGGAGGAAAAAGGAGGAATGGAAGGGAAGGAAGATGGGAAATTAAGTTAAAGGAAGGAGAGAAAGAAAAGGAAAGGGAGGATGTTAGGGAAGAATGAAGAAGAATGGAAAGAATGGGAAAGGCAGGGAAAGGGAAGAGGGGGGGGAAGGAAAAAGAAAAAAGAAAAAAAAAGGAAAAAAAAAAAAAAAAAAAAAAAAAAAAAAAAAGAAAAAAAAAAAAAAAAAAGAAAAAAAAAAAATAGAAAAAAAAAACAAAAAAAAAGAAAAAAAAAAGAAAAAAAAAAAAGAAAAAAAAGATAAAAAAAAAAAAAAAAAAAAAAAGGAAAAAGGAGGAATGGAAGGGAAGGAAGATGGGAAATTAAGTTAAAGGAAGGAGAGAAAGAAAAGGAAAGGGAGGATGTTAGGGAAGAATGAAGAAGAATGGAAAGAATGGGAAAGGCAGGATAGAAGGAAAGAAGATTAAAAGGGAAGGAAGGAAATATAGAAAAGGATGAAAGGGAAGGAAAAGGAGGCATGGTAGGGAAGGATGAAGAAGGAAGGAAGAAATGGGAAAGGCAGGATAGAAGGAAGGAAAGTTGAAAGGGAAGGAAGAAAAGGAAGGAAGGGAAGGAAGAAAGGAAATTAAATAAAAAGAGGGAAAGAAAGAAAAGGAAAGGGAAGACGGTAGGGAAGGCTAAAGAGGAAAGGAAGGAATGGGAAAGGCAGGATAGCAGGAAGGTTAAAAGGGAAGGGGGGAAAGGAAGGAGGGAAGAAAATAAAGGCAAGGATGGAAGGGAAGGAAGGGAAAGAAAAGGAGGGACAAAAGAAAAGGAGGAAAGGAAATTCAGTGAAAGGAAAGAGAACGAAAAAGAAAAGGCAGGATAAAGAGGAAAGGAAAGAATGGGAAAAGCAGGATAGATAGAAGGAAGGAAGGTTAAAAGGGAAGGGAAGAAAGGAAGGAAGCAAATAAAGGGAAGGATGGAAGGGAAGGAAGGAAAGGAAGGAATGAGAAAGGCAGGATAGAAGGCAGGAAGGTTAAAAGGGAAGGGAAGAAAGAAGGGGAAAGGAGAGAGGGAAAGAAGGATGGAAGTAAAGGAAAGGATGGAAGGGAAGGAAGCAAGGAAGGGAAGGAAAAGGAGGGATGAAAGGAAGGATGGTAGGGAAAGATAAAGAGGAAGGAATGGGAAAGGCAGGTTAGAAGGAAGGAAAGTTAAAAGGGAAGAAAGGAAGGATGGAAGGAAGGAAGGAAGAAAATAAAGGAAGGATGGTAGGGAAAGATAAAGAGAAAGGAAGGGAATGGGAACGGGAGGTTAGAAGGAAGGAAGGTTAAAAAGGAAGAAAGGAAGGAAGGAAGGAAGAAAATAAAGGAAAGGATGGAAGGGAAGGGAAGGAAGGAAGGGAGGGAGGGAGGGAGGGAGGGAGGGAGGGAGGGAGGGAGGGAAGGAAGGAAGGAAGGAAGGAAGGAAGGAAGGAAGGAAGGAAGGAAGGAAGGGAAAGGAAAAGAGGGAGGGAGTGAAGGAAGGAAGGAAGGGAGGAGATAAGGGAGAGAGGGAGGAAGAAAGAAAGGGAAAGAAAAAGAAGGAAAGGTGGAAGGGAGGAGGAGGAAGAAGGAAAGGAAGGAAAGGAAGGAAGAAGGGAAGGGTGAAAGGAAGGATGGTAGGGAAGGATAAAGAGGAAAGGAAGGAATGGGAAAGGCAGGTTAGAAGGAAGGAAAGTTAAAAGGAAAGGGAAGAAAATAAAGGAAAGGATGGAAGGGAAGGAAGAGAAGGAAAAGAAGGGATGAAAGGGAAGGAAAGAAAGGAAGAGGAAGGAAGGAAGAAGGGGAGGATAAAGAGGGAAAGAAAGAACGAGAAAGGCAGGACAGAAGGAAGGAAGGTTTAAAGCGAAGGGAAGGAAGGAAGAAAATAAAGGAATGGAGAGAAGGGAATGAAGGAGGACAGAAAGGAGAGGGAAAGAAAGAAGGCAAGGGACAGGAAGGCTGGAAGGGAGGGAAGGAAGGAAGGGGAGGACGGTGGTGGACTAGCTGCCTCTTGTGGGTTCTGGGGCCATTCTGGTGCTGTTCCAGGGAACGAAACCTGCATTCAAACAGGCCAGAGGTTCACCCCAATGTTTGTTTTCCAGGCGGCACCAACCTGACCCTGGCAAGAGACTCTCCTCCGATTGGAGCGCCAGAGGCAGGTAAGAGAGACATGGGGAGGCCTCTCCCTGCCTTGCCAATAAACCACCACCAGTAGCCATAAGCCAGTACTGGGTGCATCTACACGGTGGAAAAGATGCAGTTTGGCCCCACTTGAACTGTCAAGACTCAGTGCTAGGGAGCCACCCCCTTCTCCTCTGGTCCGAAGGAGACCCAAGCAGCCATAAGGCCCCCATCCATCCACCCATCGGCCTGCCTGCGCTCCCTGGGCCACTCAAGAGCAGAGCTTTATTTATCTGACAGCGGAGTTGACACTTGGTGACGCAGAGGCAGCCGAAAGGGATGCGGGCAAAAATAGCAAGGAAGAGGCCTGGCAGGAAGGAGCGCCAGCACAGGGATAATGGCACACACAATAAGGAGAGGGGGGTAGGGTGGCCTTCCGGGGTTCCCTTTGCCCCAATGGGCCCACCCCATATTGCCACAACCCCCAGCAGAGTCTACGCATCCTCCCTACTCAGTGGCAGTCTACCAGAGGCAAAGAAGAGATGCCTGAGTGCCCCCGAGCTGCACAGAATCATAGGAGGGACCCCCAAAGGCCATCCAGTCCAGGTTCCTTTGGCCAGGCAGGAAGCACCATCCAGACCTTCCCGACAGATGGCCACACAGCCATAGATATGATAGATAGACAGGTATGATTGCTATAGAGATAGATACATAGACAGACAGATAGACAGATATGATTACTATATAGATAGCTACGTAGATCGATCGATCGATCGATAGATAGATAAACAGACAGATAGATAAATAGACAGACAGATATGATTACTATAAAGATAGATAGATAGATATTATTACTATATAGATAGCTATGTAGATCAATAGATAGATAGATGAACATGATTGTTAGATAGATAGATGGATGGATGGATGGATGGATGGATGGAAGGAAGGACAGACGAACAGACAGACATACAGACAGACAGATAGGTAGGTAGATAGATAGGCAGACAGGCAGGATAGATAGATGGATGGATGGAGGGAGGGACGGGCGGATGGGCGGGCGGGTGGGCGGGCAGGCAGATAGATAGGCGGGCAGGCAGGATAGATAGATAGATAGATGGATAAATGGATGGATGGATGGATGGACGGATGGACGGGCGGGCAGGCAGATAGATAGATAGGCAGGCAGGCAGGATAGATGGATGGATGGATGGACAGACAGACGGACAGGTAAGTAGATAGATAGGCAGACAGGCAGGATAGATAGATAGATAGATGGATGGATGGATGGATGGATGGATGGATGGATGGATGGATGGATGGATGGATGGATGTAGATAGATAGATAGATAGATAGATAGATAGATAGATAGATAGATAGATAGATAGATAGATAGATAGATAGATAGGCAGGCAGGCAGGCAGGCAGGCAGGCAGGCAGGCAGGCAGGCAGACAGACAGACACACACACACACACACACGTGATGGCTATATAGATAGATATATTTAAATAGACATATATGGAAGCTATAGATATGTAGATAGACATGATTGGTATATAGATAGATGTGTAGATAGATAGATCTGACAGATAGATCTGATAGATAGATGGATTGATGACAGACAGACAAGATAGATAGATAGAATAGACAGACAGAATAGGTGATAGATAGATAGATTATAGATAGATGATTGATAGACAGGATAGATAGATATTAAATATTTATTTACAACAGTTATACCCTGCCCTCTCTCACCCCGAAGGGGAATCAGACCGGCTTACAAGTTATATGTACATACAATATGTTATATTATTAACATAGCACAATATTAGCAATATATATTACTATATTGTACTATACCACTATACAGTAATATTATTGGTAATATGATATTTAATATATAATATTTTGTATTATTAGTATTATATAGTCTTACGTTTTCATATTATTATCAATATTATATGTATATACAATGTATTATATTATTTGCATAGCATAATATTAGTATTATATAGTACTATATTGTTGAATATATATTTGTATCATCGAATCCTAGTAGATAGAGGCCCAAAGGGTCATCCAGTCCAATTCTGCTTTAACTCTGTTTACATAATTTTATGGTAATGGATGAAATAGTCCAAGAGGTCCTTGGCCCAGTCACTCGTCACAATAAAATCAGAGCCCCTTGCCCTCGCCTTGACCATTTCTGTGCATGGATCTGGGCATTGAAGAAAGCTGACCTAATTTTCTCCTCCCTTGCAAGACTGTTGTGCAGAGGGTGCAAGGTGCAGCCCATTCTTCCCTGCCACCAGGGGGCGCTCTTGATCTGCGGAGAGGAACTCACAGAGCGCTTCCCAAGAAGGAAGCTTGTGGCGCCCTCTGGTGGCAAGAGGCAGTAACACAATTGAAAAGATGGAAAAGTAACCAACAGGACCATGCAGCGCCCTCTAGCGGTCTTTTTAAATCTCTGCATCAATATACTTTTAATATATACTTTGCTTTAACATCCTTCCAGTTCAAACCCTTTCTGCCATAAAGGAAGGCACATTCGAATCCCTCCCAACAGATGGCCATCAAGCCTCTGCTTAATAATAATAATAATAATAACAATAATAATAATATTCTAGAGTTGTAAGAGACCCCCCCCAAAAACACCATCCAGTCCAACCCAATTCTGCCATAAAGAAAGGCACATTCAAAGGCCTCCTGACAGATGGCCATCCAGCCTCTGCTGAATAATAACAATATTCTAGAGTTATAAGAGACCCTCCAAAAAAGGCCATCCAGTCGAACCCAATTCTGCCATAAAGAAAGGCACAATCAAACCCTCCCAACAGATGGCCATCCAGCCTCTGCTTAATAATTATAATAATATTCTGGAGTTGTAAAAGACCCCTGCAAAAAGGCCATCCAGTCCAATCAAATTCTGCCATAAAGGAAGGCACAATCAAACCCCTTCCAACAGATGGCCATCCAGCCTTGATCATTTTAGTCGCCCTCCTCTGGACACATTCCAGCTTGTCAATATCTCTCTTGAATTGTGGTGCCCAGAATTGGACACAATATTCCAGGTGTGGTCTAACCAAAGCGGAATAGGGGTAGCATTACTTCCCTAGATCTAGACACTATGCTCCTATTGATGCAGGCCAAAATCCCATTGGCTTTTTTTGCCGCCACATCACATTGTTGGCTCATGTTTAACTTGTTGTCCACGAGGACTCCAAGATCTTTTTCACACGTACTGCTCTCAAGCCAGGCGTCACCCATTTTGTATCTTTGCATTTCGTTCTTCCTGCCAAAGTGGAGTATCTTGCATTTGTCACTGTTGAACTTCAATCTGTCAAGATCGTTTTGAATCCTGCTCCTGTCCTCTGGAGTATTGGCTATCCCTCCCAATTTGGTATTGTCTGCAAACTTGATGATCCTGCCTTCTAGCCCTTCATCTAAGTCATTAATAAAGATGTTGAACAGGACTGGGCCCAGGACGGAACCCTGCTGATGGCACTCCACTTGTCACTTCTTTCCAAGATGTTTGTGGGATTAACATAACTCAAAAACCACTGGACCAATTGACACCAAATTTGGTCACAATGTACATATCAGGCCAACAAGTGACCATCAGTCATAAAAACACTGAAAAACACAGCAGAAGAGACTTCAAAAGCCAAAAAAATAAAATATACATCACAGTGCATGCACAAATCTACATATACACAAACATATCCACAGGGAGGAGGAGGGAGCAAGCTTGTTTTCTGCTTCCCTGGAGACTAGGACGTGGAGCAATGGCTTCAAACTACAAGAAAGGAGATTCCATCTGAACATGAGGAAGAACTTCCTGACTGTGAGAGCCGTTCAGCAGTGGAACTCTCTGCCCCAGAGTGTGGTGGAGGCTCCTTCTTTGGAGGCTTTTAAACAGAGGCTGGATGGCAATCTGTCAGGGGTGATTTGAATGCAATATTCCTGCTTCTTGGCAGGGGGTTGGACTGGATGGCCCATGAGGTCTCTTTGATTCTATGAAAACACATATACACAGACTGGGCCACAGCAACACGCGGCAGGGGACAGCTACTAAACTAAAGATAACTAGAAATGTCCCCTTTGCAAGGGGAGGGCTTGGATGGTGTTTGGTGCCACGAAAGGCACTCTGCACATGCTCAGAGGTGGCCGTGTTTCCCTTCACAGGGCCTCACAACCGCGTAATGGCAAGGCAAACAAGGAGGGAGTGACCTCACCAGGGCTGGAAAGGAAGAAGGAAGGAAAGAGTGAAAAAGAGAGAAAGGAGGAGAAGAGGGGAAGGAGGGGCCTGGAGGTGGCAGCCGCACAGGTGAGCTAGGCAGCCGCAGGGCGTGCCGGAGGCGAATCAGAGCAGACAACAGGACAACACTGGACCTCTACAGGTAAGGAAACCAAGAGAGAGAGAGGGAGGGAGTCCTTCTTTCCCATCCTATCCCACTTCACAACAACCCTGCGAGGTGGGCTGACCAGGGACAGGACTTGAACCCATGTTTGTGTGGGCCTCCTTTGCCCTCGTGACACTTGTTTGTGTGTGATATGCATTGTTTCAGGTTGAGAAAGCTAAAAAATACCGCTAAATGTTGCCTTTTAGGCACCCATTGAGAACAGAGCCATGTCACCCCTTTGAAGTAGCAGGAACCGGTTCTCAAACAGAGCTGTATTATGCCGTTGCCAGGCCTTGGCTTGGAGCCACCCTGAGATCTGGCCCCGATCCTCTTCTTCCTTTCCTATATTTACTCTACGAGTAAACTGTATAAATCAGAAAAATAATTACTGTACATTCGTAATCTTAGTTTCGATATTCCATCTGAACATTAGGAAGAACTTCCCGACTGTAAGAGCTGTTCAGCAGTGGAACTCTTTGCCCCAGAGTGTGGTGGAGGCTCCTTCTTTGGAGGCTTTGAAAGAGAGGCTGGATGGCCATCTGTCGAGGGTGCTTCAAATGCAATTTTCTTGCTTCTTGGCAGAATGGGGTTGGATGGCCCATGAAGTCTCTTCCAACTCTATGATTCTATGATATCCCTGAATGGGGTTGGACCAGATCAGTGGTCCCCAACCTTCTAAACGCCGCGACCCCTTAACATAGTTCTTCATGTTGTGTTGACCTCCCAACCATAACATTATTTTCGTTGCTACTTCATGACTGTCATTTTGCTAAATCGTAATGTAAATATTAATTTATTTATGACATTTATGACATTTATATGCGGCCCTTCTCACCCTGAAGGGGACTCAGAGCGGCTTACAAGATATATACATAAAATATATTATATTATTAATATAGTACAATATCAGTATTAAATATTACTATATGTACTATACTGTTATATTGTAATATTATTAGTAATATTACATGTAATATAAATATATAATTATAACATCATATTATTATTATTATATTGCATTAAATCATAATATTAAAAATATAATATGTATATGAAATATATTATATTGTATTATATTATCTGATATGCAGGATTTATTTTCATTCACTGGACCAAATTTGGCACAAATACCCAATATGCCCGCATTTAAATACTGATGGGGTTGGGGAAAATAGACCTTGACATTTGGGAGTTGTAGTTGATGTGATTTATAGTTCACCTACAATCAAAGAGCATTCTGAACTCCACCAATAATGGAATTGAACCAAGTTTGGCACACAGAACTCCCATGACCAACAAAAAACACTGGAAGGTTTTGGTAGGCATTGACCTTGAGTTTGGGATTTGTAGTTCACTCAGACAATTATAGATCTGGACCAAACTTGGCACAAATACTCAATATGCCCAACTATGAACACTGGTGGAGTTTGGGGAAACTAGACCTTGACATTTTAGATTTGTGGTTGCTGGGATTTATAGTTCACCTACAATCAAAAAGCATTCTGTACTCCACCAATGATGGAATTAAACCAAGTTTGGCACACAGAACTCCCATGACCAACAAAAAATGCTGGAAGGGTTTGGTGGGCATTGACCTTGAGTTTGGGATTTGTAGTTCACCTCCATCCCGAGAGCACTGTGGACTCAAACCGTGATGGATCTAGACCAAACTTGGCACAAATACTCAATATGCCCAAATGTGAACACTGGGGGAGTTTGGGGGAAATAGACCTTGACATTTGGGAGTCGTAGATGCTGGAATCAAAGAGCATTCTGAACCCCACCAATGATGGAACTGGGCCAAACTTTCCACACAGAAGTCCCATGTCCAAAAGAAAATGCTGTGTTTTCGGATGGTCTTTGGTGACCCTTTTGACACCCCCCTTGTCGCAACCTCTAGGTTGAGAAATGCTGGACTAGATGACCTTTAGGGCCCCCTTCCAGGGTTCTGTTATTCTGTGTTTGGGGCAATTCTGAATGATCCAAGAGGCCGTAATCCTCCCAAAGAAGGATTCTATTGGACTCTAACATCTGATTGCTAGAGTCTTTTCCTATGCGGCATATTATGGTCTGGAATCAGCATACTTTGGCGGATTTGATCAGGGTCAGTCTTGGAAGCAATGGCACATTTATAATGACATGTTGCCTTCCATCCAAAGTAGGGCAAAGGTAAGATGTGAGGAGCAGAGTCACACCTGTTGAACCTTGACCTGTGACGGAACAGCAAGACCTTATCAGTCCTGTCCAAAATGGAAAATGCAGTCCGGGAAGTTGACAACAAACCCTCCCTCCATACATTCTTCTGCTTATCTCAGGACACCTTGAAATAGCATTGCTGTTCAGAGACATCTCATGCCTGTGTTTGTTATAAAGGGAGGGTAGAAACTCTAGAAAGGCTCGAAAATATTGATTTAAGCAACCCAGCCCAAAGCCAGGAATGAGGTTGCACCTCTAGGCCGCAAAGCCCTCTTTGAGATCCAGCGGGTCCGCAACACTGTAGAGTTAATGCAGTTTGATACTACTTTGAACGCCATTGCTACTGAACTGTGGGATTTGTAGTTTGCTGAGACGCCAGCTTTCTTGGGTAGAGAAGGCTCAAGGCTTTGTAAGACTTCGACTCCCAGGATCACATAGCTACATAGCCAATTCACCCTGGAGTCATTCTCTTCAACACTGAATGGGCTGGATAGCCATCTGTTGTGAGTGTCTTCTTCTATGGCTTTGATGGTGTCTTCTTCTATGGCAGAATGGGGTTGGACTGGATGGCCCTTGGAGGTCTTGTCCAATTCTAGGATTAAATATATACAGATATCTATCTCAGTGGTATCTGACTATCACCTCTCTTTTTTGTCTCATATCTATGGCCATCAGTCAGCAGTGCTCTGATGGTGTCTTTATGGCAGAGTGGGGTTGGACTGGATGATCCTTGGAGGTCTCTTCCAATTCTAGGATTATATATATATCTATCTCAATCATATCTATCATCTCTCTCCCATATCTATGACCATCTTAACCATGGCTGGATGGCCATTTGCCGGGAGGACTTGGATAGTGTATTTCTTTATGGCAGAAGGGGGTTGGACTGGATGGCCCTTGGAGGTCTCTTCCAATTCTAGGATTATATATCTCTCATATACAGATATCTATCTCAATGGTATCAGACTATCGCCTTTCTTTCTTTTTCTCATATCTATGGCTGGATGGCTATCTGTCAGGAGTGCTCTGATGGTGTCTTCTTTATGGCAGAATGGGGTTGGACTGGCTGGCCCTTGGAAGTCTCTTCCAATTCTAGGATTATATATCTCTCATATACAGATATCTATCTCAATCATATCTATCATATTTCTCCTGTATCTATGACCATCTTATCCATCGCTGGATGGCCATCTGTCGGGAGGACTTGGATGGCGTCTTTCTTTATGTCAGAAGGGGGTTGGACTGGATGACCCTTGGGGGTGTCTTCCAATTGTAGGATTCTATATCTCTCATATACAAATATATATCTCTCATATCTATGACTATCTTATCCATGGCTGGATGGCCATCTGTCGGGAGGACTTGGATGGTGTCTTTCTTCATGGCAGAAGGCGGTTGGACTGAATAGTAATAGTAATAATGCATGCATACAACTACAGGGCATTCAGATAGGATTGCCAACTTTCCCAGATCTGTAGTAGGGAGGAAGACCCTGGTCAGTGTAGGGTTGCCTTCTGAGGGTCTTTGGGCCTGGGGTCTTCCCTGTCCCCTGTCCCTTTAAGAGCAATCTACAGGTGGTTATGGGATGATAACATCCATGTTGTCAACCCCGGTCCCTGATCTGGAAAAAAAGTAATTAATCTCAATCAAGATTTAATTTCAAACTTTGGCAGAAGGAGCGGAGGCGATGCCTCGAGAGCAGAGATTGGAAACACCTTCTTCTCCACACCTTGGAAGCTGGAATCCAATCCAGTCCTGGTTCTGGAAAGGTATTCAAGGTGGAATCTTCCAGGGCTTCCTTTGGTTTCGGCAGAAAAGCCCCTGAGACCCAACCGAGAGAGAAACCCAGATAATGGGGATTAGGAAGGAGGGGGATTCGTGTCTGGGGCCTGAGCTCAGACCAAGAAGATTTAGGAGGGAGCCATTGAGTGAAGGAGACAGGTACCTTTTGCCTGATTCGCCCGGAGAGGAGGAAGCAGACAGGTGAGCGGACAGGTATCGGAAGGGATGCCGCCTTCAAGATTGGGCTCGTTTTTGGAGAGTATTGGAGGGAAATCAAGAGAAGAGATGCCTCCTAAACATAACTGTGAAATCCATTGTTGGGGTTGGAGGGTCATCTCTCTAGAGGGCTTTTATTGTGTCTTCCTGCCCTGCAGAGGTTGGACTGGGTAGTCTTTAGGGTTCCCTTATCTCTAAGAGTCTCCTTTAGGATTCTGTAGAACAGTGTTTCTCAACCTTCCTAATGCCGCGACCCCTTAATACAGTTCCTCATGTTGTCTTGACCCCCAACCATAACATTATTTTCGTTGCTATTTCCATAACTGTCATTTTGCTTCACTTATGAATCATCATGTAAATATCTGACATGCAGGATGTATATTATTATTATTATTATTATTATTATTATTTTACTGACACAAAAACACAGTATGTCACAGCAAATGAGATCTCTATGCTGGATTTCGTATCACAAAATCACAAGTTGAATACTTCCCAAGCATCTAGGACTGTGTGATGTATATTATTATTATTATTATTATTACAGTTCCTCATGTTGTGTTGACCCCCAACCATAATATTATTTTCATTGCTATTTCCATAACTGTCATTTTGCTTCACTTATGAATCATCATGTAAATATCTGACATGCAGGATGTTATTATTATTATTATTATTATTATTATTATTATTATTATTATTATTATTTTACTGACACAAAAACACAGTATGTCACAGCAAATGAGATCTATATGCTGAATTTTGTATCACAAAATCACAAGTCGAACACTTCCCAAGCATCTAGGACTGTGTGATGTATATTATTATTATTATTATTATTACAGTTCCTCATGTTGTGTTGACCCCCAACCATAATATTATTTTCATTGCTATTTCCATAACTGTCATTTTGCTTCACTTATGAATCATCATGTAAATATCTGACATGCAGGATGTTATTATTATTATTATTATTATTGACACAAAAACACAGTATGTCACAGCAAATGAGATCTATATGCTGGATTTCGTATCACAAAATCACAAATCAAACACATTATTATTATTATTATTGTGGAATATTATTATTATTATTATTATTATTATTAATACAGTTCCTCATGTTGTGTTGACCCCCAACCATAACATTATTTTCATTGCTATTTCCATAACTGTCATTTTGCTTCACTTATGAATTATCATGTAAATATCTGACATGCAGGATGTATTTATTATTGTTATTATTATTATTATTTTGGGATTTTATTATTATCATTGCTATTATCATTAATTATTATTAAACAGAGGCTGGATTGCCATCTGTCAGGAGGGCTTTGATGGTGTCTCCCTGCCTGGCAGAATTGGGATTAGACTGGATGGCCTTTGGGGGTCCCTTCCAATTTTGGGATTCTATTATTATCATTGCTATTATTGTTATTATTATTATTAAGCAGAGCCTAGATGGCCATCTATTGGGAGAGCTTTGATGGTGTCTCCCTGACTGGAAGAATTGGGATTGGACTGGATGGCCTTTGGGGTCCCTTCCAATTTTGGAATTCTATCATTGCTATTATTATTATTAGTAGTTGTAGTAGTAGTAAGCAGAGGCTGGATGGCCATCTATCGAGAGGTCTTTGATGGTGACTCCCTGCCTGGCAGAATTGTGATTGGACTGGATGGCCTTTGGGGCTCCCTTCCAATTTTGGGATTCTATTATTATCATTGCTATTATTATTATTATTATTATTATTATTATTATTATTATTATTATTATTAAGCAGAGGATGGATGGCCATCTGTCGGGAGGGCTTTGATGGTGTCTCACTATCTGGCAGAATTGGGATTGGACTGAAAGTCACTTCCAACTGTAGCATGGTATCTGAGAAAACCAGATGATGTTGTCAATACTGTGAGTCAAGCAAACGAAGGGATGCTGAATTAAAAACACTCTCTTTCTCTCTCCTGGGCAGGTGATTGGCTGACCCTGGGTTCCGGGGCTCCTCCGAGGGCAGATCCATGGACCGCGGGGTGACCATCAAGAACCCCTATGCCAGCGTGAGCCTCCCTCGGGCGCAGCTCAAGGAGGACTTCCTGCGCTACTCCCTGGGCGAGGACCAGGCCCCGGGCACCGTGCTCTACAGCCCCAGCCATTTGCCCACCTACGCGGAGGGCCCTCCGGACCAGGCTTCGGGTCCCAGAGTGCCCACGCGGGAGTCCTGGGCCCGGCCCTTCAACCCTTACGCCAGCCTCTCCCTGCCCAACAGTGGGGCCGCTGCTCCAGAGCCTTTCCACTGGAAGAGCCAGCAGGCCTCAGGCGGCGGGGACAGCAGGGGCCCTAAAGGCAGAGGCTGCTGCTGCTGCTGCCCTTGCTGCCGGAAGTGCTCCCCATGCAGCAGGCGCTGCAACTGCGTCATCTCCTAAGACAAGACCCCCAGGTTGGCCCCCAAAGTGCTGCTGCTTCCACCCAATGCAAACCGCAAGGGGCAATTCCGCTTTGGACCTTGAAAATGTCAAAACGAAGCAACACAAAACAGGAATGGAAAACTGGACTCTTTGGACGAAAGGGCTCTCCTTAGGAAGGAGCAGCACACACCTTTGCACCCCACGTGCATTGACTTTGTCTTCTCTGCAGGACTCCCTCAATCAGTCATAGAGTTGAAAGAGACCTCCAGAGGCCACTCAGTCCAGCCCCCTTATGCCAGGAAGGAAATGCACCATTCAATCCCTCCTTACAGATGGCCATCCAGTCTCTCCTAGAATCCTAGAGTTGGAAGAGACTCCCAAAGAACATCCTGTCCCATCCCCTTCTTCCAGAAAGGAAAGCACAATCCAATCCCTCCTGACAGATGGCCATTCAGCCTCTCCTAGAGTTGGAAGAGATGCCCCAGAGGCCACCCAGTCCAATACCCTTCTGCCAGAAAGGAAGGCACCATTCAATCCCTCCTTCCAGATGGCCATCCAGCCTCTCCTAGATTCCTAGAGTTGGAAGAGATGCCCCAGAGGCCACCCAGTCCAGCCCTTTTATGCCAGGAAGGAAATGCACCATTCAGTCCCTCCTGACAGATGGCCATCCAGCCTCTCCTAGAATCCTAGAGTTGGAAGAGACTCCTAAAGGACATCCTGTCCAATCCCCTTCTGCCAGAAAAGAAGGCACCACCCAGTGCCTTCTGACAGATGGTCATCTAGCCTCTTTGCCTGGACTTTGAGGCAAAGAGTTCCACTGGTGAACACCTCTTCTTACAGTCAGGAAGATCCTTCCTTATGTTCATGTCAAATCTCCTCTGCTTCTATTGGAGTCCAAAATCCATGAGGGCAGAAGGAAACAAGCTTGCTCCTTCTTCCTTGTGACATCATTTCAAACATGTAAACATGGCTCTTCTCATGTCGCCTTCTCTCAGCCTTCTCTTCTGCAGGCTACACAGATCGAGCTCTGGGGGGCCTTGTGATGGGGAGGGTCCCTGAGGGCCTCCTGGGCGCATGCAGAGCCAACGGGGACTGACTGGGAGTGAGTCCAAGGGGCTTGGAGGCCACTGAGTTAGGCTTGGCTTTGAACTGGGGAGACAGAGCAGGGGCATTGTTGGAGAAGGGAGACAGCAGTAAGACCCAGGGCTTTGGACCTTTCCACTTAGCCATATAGCCCAGAATATCAAAGCAATAATCTACGATATCTGCTTTGAACTGGATTATCTGAGTCCACACTGCCATATACAGTGTTCCCTCACTTATCGCGGATGTTATGTTCCAGGACCACCCGCGAAAAGTGAAAAACCACCAAGAGGGATGCTATATATCGAGCTCCGGGGTAAAGTAAAAAAGCACTTTAAAGAAATAGGTAAATCCAATTAGGTAAGAAGATAAGCAGGAACAAAGTAGTCCGGGGAAAATAGTCCAGCAAAGTCCATGAAAATAAAGTCAAAACTTCTCTAATAAAATCCAAGAAACCTGGAAACATGAATCCAAGGCATGAATCATAGAACCCAAGAATCAAAACCGTGAAACAAAAGGCACTTAAACATGAATCTTCCAAGCTAGGCTTCCATGAAACAAGGACGAGATCTTGACTTGATTCCAAACGATGCTTCATCTGACTACATATCCTGTACTTAGGACTTTTATCTCCTCGTTAGCTATGTTCCAAGCACTCAGAAATTGGTTTTAGTTTAGAATCTCTTATCTTTTTCTCTCGGAGCCTGGCAGAACGCCAAAGCCACTGTTCGGCTTTCCTGTTTTGACTAATCTCCTCCCATCTATCTAATTGCTCATTAATTTATGCACCTGGTGCTGAGCTGTTTTCAAGCTCCAAATCATAGGAACTTTGATTGACCCCAATGCAAGAAGAAGGCCTTGTCCTTGTGCCTTCCCTCCGTGTGTTTGCTCTCTCTCTCTCTCCTCCCTGGGCAGGGACTCTTTGCTCTGGCTCTTCCACATTCTGAGCCTTCTCTCGGCCGAAACCCTTGCAGCCCTGGAGCCTTTCTAAGGAGGAGGAAGAGGCCTCCAAACGTTGCCAGAGGTGCCCCAGAGAGCCTCCCTGGGCCGGGCCACTCTACCTCCCCTTTCAGCTGCCCAAATCGAATTGCAAAGAGATGTTACGGGGTTGGAGGGGGTGACCGAACATTATGAAACATAAGTGGCCTGGCTTTGGTGCAAAGCCTTTCCTGGGAGCCCTTCAGAGAGGCCTTTCGGAATGGAGAGACGGGCGAACGTTGGAAGAGATGGTGAGCGGAGAAACCCCAGAGGGTCCTTCTCCGGAATGTCTCCTGCCTAATATATTTGGGGCCGACCCAAGTGAGCCAGAAAACCCTGAAGGCGGAAGAGAAGGGGGAAAGGGGGCTTCGTTGCAGTGCTGCGTTTTCCTCCCCGTGGCAAAAAAAGCTGCCTCGTGGGTGCTATTTTTAGGCCCACGTTGCCTTGCAAGGCGTTTGCATTGAGGGCGGAGGCGGCTTCCTTGGCACTGTTTTCAGAAAGGTGGAGGGAGGGAGGGAGGCTGGAAACAGGGCTTGTGAAACGATAAACTCCCTGCCACTGTGCATCATGTCTTTGTCGTGGTTTTCTTTTTCCGGAGGGAGGGAGTGTCGCATCAATCAGAGCTCCCTCGTGGTGCCTCTCAAAACCCAATCTTTCAAAAAATGCTGATTGGTTTTCCTGGCCCAGCTTTGCACTCCACAGAAGCATCTCAAAGGCCCCCAAAGATTGCTGGGCCAGTGGGACTTCAATGTAACCCAGCGTTTCTACACCTGGGAGTCGGGATGCCTGTGTGGGTCACAAGGGGGTTTCAGAGGGGTCGCCAAACACCACATATTTCTGATGGTCTTAGGAACCCCTTTGGCAGAAAAGGCTTAAGATCTCTCCGCCTGTCTTTCTCTTCCTTTTTGGAAAGAGACAGAAAATTCTCCCACCAAAAGCCCTCCTCTGCTGTGATTGGCCACACTCTCAACCAGCCTCTCTCGGTCACGGGGAGAGCTGAGGGCAGGCATCCTCAGAGGTTGTTACATTTACACAGAGGCAGCCCTAGGTAATTTTCAACGGTAAGCAAACAGTATTTTGGCACCCCCCCCCCCCCAACCAATCACTGATATATATTTTCTGTTTGTCATGGGAGTTCTGTGTGCCATATTTGGTTCAATTCCATCATTGGTGGAGTTCAGAATGCTCTTTGATTGTAGGTGAACTATACATCCCAGTAACTACAACTCGCATATGTCAAGGTCTATTTCCCCCCAAGAGCGCCTCAAGAGCGCCCCTGGGCAAAATCAACTATACTGCAAATGCTTACTTTGCGTAATGGGTTGAGCCGCCCCTGTGTGGAGTACAACATTGGTGCCATCTTGGGAAAAACACAGTATTTTCCGTTGGTTATGGAGGTTCTGTGTGGGAAGTTTGGCCCAATTCTATTGTTGATGGAGTTCAGAATGCTCTTTGATATTAGGTAAAGGTAAAGGTAGTCCCCTGACATTAAGTCCAGTCATGTCTGACTCTAGGGTGTGGTGCTCATCTCCATTTCTAAGCCGAAGAGCCAGCGTTGTCCGTAGACACCTCCAAGGTCATGTGGCCGGCATGACTGCATGGAGCGCCGTTACCTTCCCGCCGGAGCGGTACCTATTGAGCTACTCACATTTGCATGTTTTCGAACTGCTAGGTTGGCAGAAGCTAGGGCTGACAGCGGAAGCTCACGCCGCTCCCCGGAATCGAACCTGCGACCTTTCGATCAACAAGCTCAGCAGCTCAGTGCTTTAACCCACTGCACCACCGGGGGCTCCATTTTTGATTGTAGGTGAACTATAAAGCCCAGCAACTACAATCCCAAATGTCAAGGTCTGTTTTCCCTAGATTTGACCAGTGTCCTGTTTGGAATCAGATGGCAAATCCTCCCACCAAAAGCCCTCCTCTGCTGTGATTGGCTGGCCTCTCAGACAAGGGGAGAGTAGTTTTGAGACTCCAATTTGGGAGGAGAGAGTAGGCATGCTCGGTGCATGGCAGCATGGTACGCATGTGCAAAGCGAGGGAGAGCATGCGAGGCTGGAGGGGGGCTCATGCCAGCAAGTCCCTTGAATACATGAGGGTTCTGTGTGGGAAGTTTGGCCCAATTCTATCATCAGTGGGATTCAGAATGTTCTTTGATTTTATGTGAACTATAAAGCCAGCAACTACAATCCCAAATGTCAAGGTCTGCTTTCCCTAGACTTGACCTGTGTCCTGTTTGGAAACAGATGGTGAATCCTCCCACCAAAAGCTCTCTCCCTCTGTGATTGTCTGGTCTCTCAGCCAAGGGGAGGGCTGCTTCTGAGACCCCAAGTGGGGAGGAAAGAGCAGACATGCTCGGTGCACGGCAGCGTGGTACGCATGTGTGGGGCAAGGGAGAGTGGGCATGGCTGGAGGGAGGCTCATGCCAGCGAGACCCTTGAACACATGCGGGTTCTATGTGGGAAGTTTGTTCCAATCCTATCGCTGGTGGTGTTCAGAATGCTCTTTGATTCTAGTTGAACTAAATAAATCCCAGCAACGACAACTCCCAAATGTCAAGGTCTATTTTCCCCAAGCACCACCACTGTTCACATTTGGGTATCCTGAGTATTTGTGCCAAGTTTAGTCCAGATCCATCATTGTTTGAGTCCACAATGCTCTTTGCATGGAGGCAAAGTATAACTCTGAAACTCAAGGTCAATGCCCACCAAATCCTTCCAGTATTTTCTGTTGGTCATGGGAGTTATGTGTGAGTTTTGAGACTCCAAGCAGGGGGGGGAGAGCAGGCGTGCTCAGCACATGGCAATGTGGTACGCACAGGGTTCAATTCCATCGTTAGTGGAGTTCAGAATGCTCTTTGATTCTAGTTGAACTATAAATCCCAGCAATGACAACTCCCAAATATAAAGGTCTATTTTCCCCAAACACCACCACTGTTCACATTTGAGCATACTGAGGATTTGTGCCAAGTTTGCCAGATCATTGTTTGAGTCCACTGTGCTCTCTGGATGGAGGTAAACTTCAACTCAGAAACTCAAGGTCAGTGACTACCAAAACTTCCAGTATTTTCTGTTGGACATGGGAGTTCAGTGTGAGTTTTGAGACTCCAAGTGGGGAGGGGAGAGCAGGTGTGCTCGGAGCATGGCAGCATCGTACGAATGTGGGGTTCAATTCCATCGTTGGTGGAGTTCAGAAAAGCACAACCAAAGCCCTCCCGACAGATGGTCATCTAGTCATGGATATGCTAGAGAGATAGATTATAGATAGATTGAGACAGCTTTATCATAGTATCCTAGAGTTGTAAGGTAGCATCTCTTTCTACCATAATGGAAAAGCAACTTTGGTTCAATTCCATAGTTGGTGGAGATCAGAATGCTCTTTGATTGTAGGTGAACTATAAATCTTAGCAACTACAACTCCCAAATGACAAAATCAATCCCCCCCCAACCCCATTAGTATTCAAATTTGGGCGTATCGAGTATTTGTGCTAAATTTGGTCCAGTGAATGAAAATACATCCTGCATATCATGTTTCACATTATGATTCATAGCAGGAACAAAATTGCAGTTCTCAAGGAGCAACGAAAATAATGTTATGGTTGGGGGTCACCACAACATGAGGAACTGTATCAAGGGGTCGCGCATTAGGAAGACTGAGAAACACTGACATAACCCCATTGCAATTCACAGTTGACAGTCATTAGAAGCATAAGGGCTGAGCTCTCCCCTTTTCCGTCGCTTCCGGCTCTGCAGGATTCCTGGGCGCATTGCTTGACCTCTATCCCCCCAATAAAAAAAGTCCCAAGGTTGGAGGAGCAGGAATGCAGCAAGACCGGTGGGGCCTGATTCACTTCCAGGAAAAAGAGGCCTTGCAAGTGGGCAGCAGCAGGAGGACCAAAGGCAGGCTTCCCTTTCTGGCCTTCTCAAATAGTCATGGTGGGGGCGACAAAGCCACAAAGTAGATATCTCGCTCATGGAAAGACACCCATTCAAAGCCAATGGTGCCTTCCTTTATGGCAAAAGAGGGGCAGGGCTGGATGCCCCTTGGAGTTTCTACCAATCCCAGAATTATGTTATTATTATTGTTAAGCAGAGGCTGGATGGCCTTCTATTGGGAGGTCTTGAATGGTGTCTTCCTTCAGGAGGGTTAGCCTGAATAACCCTTGTGGTCTCTTCCAACTCCAGGATTCTATTATTATTACTACTACTACTACTACTACTACTACTACTACTGCTACTAGCTTGGGGACCCGGCGTTGCCCGGATTATTTGAAAAAGTCAATTTCTAATTGTACCAAATGCATAAGGTTGTGAGTGAACCACAACCCCCATCATGCCAGGTCAACCCCGAAAAACTCTATCAGTACTTAAGGTTTGTCATGTTGGGCAAGTTTGCTCTGGAGGCATCATTGGTGGGGTTCAGTGCGTTTTCTGTCTGTAGGATAAACTACAACTCTCACTGTAGTGGGTCAGTCCCCTCAAATCCCTCCAGTAGATTGAGTTAGTAATGGGGGTTGTGTGGCCAGGTCCATCATCGGTGTAGGTCACAGCTTCCTTGGTTGTGGGCGAACTACAACTCCTAGAAAGGAAGGCTAGTTCCCCCCAAACCCATCCAGTAATCAAATTTTGGCATATTGGGTATGTGAGCCAAGTATGATTCAGATCCATCAGTGTTTGGGTTCACAGTGGTCTCTGGATGTAAGTGAACTACAACTCTCCCAAATCAAGGTGAATTTCCCCAAAGACCACTATTTTTTGCTGGTTGGGGGGCTCTGTGTGCCAAGTGTGGTTCAATTTGAGGCAGGCCTTCCCCGCCGCGTCTCAGGCCACTGCACTTCCGGGGTCTGTGGACGCCAGGGAGGGAGGTCTTCCCTGCCGCACCTCAGGCTGCCTCACTTCTGGGGTCCTTGGCCCCCACTGGACCTAAATATTTTATATTTTGTATTAACATTTTCAGAAATATTAATACAAAACAGCGAGTCTGGTAAAAGCGAACTGCGAAGTAGTGTATAGATTATGTGTATATTGTTAAGGAGAAGTTATATGGCTCTCTGCCAGGAGGGATTGGATGGTGTCTTTGGGTCCTCTTCTGACTCCTATGAAATGGGAAGGGAGGCCTAGTGGCTCAGCATCATGGTTTTTAGGGCTTTCGGAGACCCATTTTCCTAATGCAACCAGGGTGGGCTGCTGAGCTCTCCTGCCACCCAGGAATGGAGAGAGGGAGCCTCTGCATCTGCCTGTGTTTCTGCGGCTATTGTCATCCGGGGCAACAGTAACCCTATCTGGCCAGGCTGGCCTCCTGCGGCAGATACAATAGCACAACTGTCTCGGAAACGTGAACCCCGCTGGCGGTGATCGCCGGCTGGAAGGAGAGGCGGCAGGAGGCAAGTCTGTGGGAGACAAGCGAGGAACCCCACAGGGGCCACCAATCCCCAAGGACGGGACACCGGAATTCCCTAGGAAGGCGCACCCATGAACAGGGCTGCATGCGCCTCTGCGCAGGATGCAGCAGGACCAGGAAATGTAAGTTTCCCCTTGCCAGGTATTTGCATGATGGTGGGAAGGGCAGGAGCGGAGGCACCCCTCACCCTCTTGCTTGGCGGCACCTTGTTCTGTGGGACATCTCCCCACCAAGACCCACATTGGACCATGCTGATAGGGAAGGCCGGCATTCAAGAGAATGCTGAGGCCAAAGGAGCCCTTTCCCATCTCATTGAGGAAAGTATCGCTCTCTGGGGTTTGTTTTCGTTCCCTTCATTAAAGGGAGTTGCTAGGTCTCAGGGTGGTCTCAGCTTGGGAAAACCGGCCTGCTAAAACCACTTCCTCGGGCCTTGCAAAGTATAATTTCTATTATAGCAGTAGGTTATGCAACTAGAAGGTGGCTCCTGGGGCAAGACGTCATGGATGTTGAACTCCATTCGAATACACGAAATGGATTTCCAGGCTGACCTGTACACCGGTCAGTTCTGAAGATAATTCAGCAGAAGGTGTGGACTTCACTGGATGTTTATAGGCAGAGATGCCCAACTTTGAAGGATACCTTAGTGCAGCGGTTCTCAACCTGTGGGTCCCCAGATGTTTCGGCCTTTACCTCCCAAAAATCCTAATAGCTGGTAAACTAGCTGGGATTTCTGGGAGTTGTATGTCAGAAACATTAAAAAATTAGGTATTTTTAATTACAAAAATGTGCGTCAAACACTAAGAGGTTTAAATGGATGCAACGACTCAGCAAAAGCTGTCGTTGAATATAAGAAGGTAGGCCTGCTGCTTAGTAACGCCTCACTCTGAGAAAGTTCTCAGTGTGAGAGAAGCCAGAGAGGTTTCTCTCTCACTGAGAGCTCTCTCACACAGAGAGTGTGAGAAAATGCCTCTGTGGGAGAATAGGTCTCAGTGGTAGTAGGCCTCACTGTGGGAGAAAAGCCTCAGAGTGTGAGGTAAGCCTCAGTGTGAGAAGGCCACTTGTATGAAGCTCCAATGTGAAGGTTGAACTTTATTTGTGTCATGGAAACCTTATAAATAGTGCAACCATATTGTTTTGCTATAAAGAAAAGCCTCCTAAGGAAGAGATAACATTGGTCTATGTGTTTTTGTTCTTTTTATCACTTTGGGCTATTGGTGCTGGGTCACGCTTCTGCTAATAAGTTACACTGCTGTGCATTTATGAGGAGGGTCTTTTGCTAAATGTACAACAGACTAACATATTAGCAGCAGCGTGACCCAGCACCAGTAGCCCAAAGTGATAAAAAGAACAAAAATGCATAGACCAATGATATCTCTTCCATAGGAGGCTTTCCTCTCTACTAAAATAACATAGTTGCACTATTTACAAGAACAAGATTTCCATAACACAAATGAACAGATGCATAGTAACTTTAAAAGCAACAGCCTTCACACTGGCGCTTTCTCACACAAGGCTTCTCTCACAATGAACTTATACTGGAGCTTCACCCAGTAGCTTTTTACACAGCTTTATGCACAGAAGTCTTCATCCACTGGAGTTTTTTCCCACGAGGCTTCTCTCACACTGAGGTTTACCTCACATTCCTCAGGACGACACTAGCTTCGGCCTGCTATTTCAGTGCTTGACTCTTATTTTTGTAATTAAAAATACCTAGTTCATTTTTTAATATTTCTGTCAGAATGGTCACTCTCTTTGCCTCTCTCCGCCGCTTTAGGATGCCTGGAAGCAGTGAAGCATCCGACCAGAGTCCAGGGCCTCTCCGCCCCTTGACCATGACTCGCGGCAGCCACCGTGTGGACTGCATCGTCTGCTTCGGCTCTTACGACCTCTCAGGCCGGCTGCCCCGCCGCCTCTACTGCGGGCACACCTTCTGCCAGGCCTGCCTCCGGCGCCTCAATGCTCCGGCCAACGAACAGTGGTGGATCCCATGCCCGCAATGCCGGCAGAGCACTCCCACCCCCCGAGGAGGGGTGGCCATGCTGGACCTGGACCTGACAGCCTTTCTGGCAGTCAAGAACGAGAGGGAGCACCCTCCACGAGGCTCTGGGAGGACCAAGGCCAAGGCCAAGACCAAAGAAGAGCCAGTCACCCGGCAGCCAGACGGCATGTGCCAGGAGGCCCTGCCCCGGGCCCCTTTCCCGGAAAGCGACTGCTGCGGCCACTGCCTCTGCTGCGGGACCACCGCCACCTTCCATAGCTGACTGCAGGGGCCTTCTCGGGCCCTTAGAAACAAAGGCTAAGAGGTGCAAGGTTTGCACCAGCGGAGAAGCATGAGATTCCTGCCGCCACTCTTTGCAGCAGTGGACCCAATGACCCAGAGCAGTTCTGAGGATGCCTTCCCTGGACGTCTTCAAAAATCGCCGGACCAGGTCCTGATGCTGGGGAGGCTCCACTGGAGATTGAATGGTTCCATCTGCATGGCCTGATCTCTACTCGATTTGGAGCTGTATATAAACTCTTCTGAACAAGTCATACCCTTTGAGGGCAATCCTTCTGGTACCTGGAGCTCTCTTGTGTGTTTCTGCGTGTTGTTTTTTAACATGGTGACCCTTCCAGCTTATTTTCTTTCTGCATCTCCTTGACATGGCTTTCTCTTCGACATTGAAACTTTGGCCACTAATGGTCATAAGGATACATAAGGTGACAATACGTAAAAAGAGGAGGGTAATCAATAAAACATTATTATTATTGTTGTTATTGTTATTGTTATTATTATATACACAACAAGATTAGTACACAGCAAACAAAATCACTGCGCTGGCTTTTGTATTGGATCCCACGTCGGACCCTTCCCAAGTGTCTAGGACTGTGTGATGTATCAGCAAATATTTTATTTATTTAAAACATTTATATTCTGCCGGGACAGAAATTCTTATATACATACATAAATATTAATAACATTTATCAAAATATTAAAATACACCATTTACAAATAATATTTACAAATAAAATACAAATAATGTGTGCCGATCCGAGTCGGTGGCCTCTTGCAGTTAACAGATGGTGATTTTGTTTTTAAGTGCAGGCCAAGGTCTTTAGGCACTGCACCCAGTGTGCCAATCACCACTGGGACCATCGGACCCATCCCAAGTGTCAAGGCTGTGTGATGTATCAGCAAATAATGCATGCAGTTTCGAGTAGGGTGGCCTTTTGCATCTAACAGATGGTGATTTTGTCAGCGCCAATTGTTTTTAAGTGCAGGCTAAAGTCTTTAGGCACTGCACCACGGGACCATCGGACCCTTCCCAAGTGTCTGGGCTGTGTGACGTATCAGCAAATAATACATGCAGTTTCGAGTAGGGTGGCCTTTTGCATCTTGTCAGCACCAATTGTTTTTAAGTGCAGGCCAAGGTCTTTAGGTACTACATCCAGTGTGCCAATCACCACTGGGACCATTGGACCCTTCCCAAGTGTCTAGGCTGTGTGATGTATCAGCGAATAATGCGTGCAGATTCGAGTAGGGTGGCCTTTTGCAGCTATCAGATGGTGATTTTGTCAGCACAAATTGTTTTTAAGTGCAGGCCAAGATCTTTAGGCACTGCACCCAGTGTGCCAATCACCACTGGGATTGACTGGCTTGTGCTAGAGTCTTCACAGTTATTATTATTATTGTATTTCTTTGATTGTAAGACACCATTGATTGTAAGGTGCTCCCTAATTCCAGTATCACCAACTAAAATACGTAAGATTTTCTACAATTCTAAGATGCACTCCACTTCTAGAGAATTTAATATGGGGGGGGGAGCACATCTTAGAATGGAAATATATACAGTATCATCACTATCATCATTGACCGGGCTCCAGATAAGCATTTCTACCAAGACCTTTATATTGTGGGGACCATTGATCCATCTCTTTGCAAAAATTTAAAGCAAAGGAGATTCGCCTTGTACAATTTTCTGTGAAATAGAGGCGTGTGCAAGTGTAAAATCAGAAGTAAATACATATAAGTTTGAAAAACGCCGCCGGGAGCCATCTCTTTCCTGTGGACTGTAGAATCTACTGTTTAGGAGCTCCGAGGGCCAAAGATTTGGAAACATAAGTGCGCTTGATTTCAATGTGTGCTTCCTTGTTTTTTCTTCACATCCTTCTTTCCTCTTCATGTGGTTGCACGCTGAACGCAGCGTGAAAAAAGTGAAGGAAATTGATCTAGGCAATCACTGGTTGGCTTGAACAAGCCTCAAGTCAGTCAAGTTGTACGTAGCGGAGGAGGCAATCCGCCTGTCACGAACAAAATACGTTTGGCCCCGTTTTGCTCTTTACGGACACACTTGAATTGCTGCAAACATGATAAGCAGGTATGGGCAAACGTGGGCCCTCCAGATGTTTTGGACTTCAACTCCCACAATTCCTAACAGCCACAGGCCCCTTCCTTTTCCCCCTCAGCATAGAGATTTTAATCTATGCTGACGATCGTGCCATCACCACCCAAGCAGGGAGCTTTGAAATGGTTGAATAGAAGCATAAGTGGCTAAGGGAGAAAAGGAAAGGGTCTGAGGCTGTTAGGAATTGTGGGAATTGAAATCCAAAACACTTGGAGGGCCAAAGTTTGCCCAGGCCAGCTCCTGGCTCCTGCTGTTGTGGTAGTCAAGACAAAGTCAACATGGCAAAGGCTGCGGCCTCACCTTCCCTTAAAGCTGGATTTTATCACTCTGCTCCACCTTAACACAAAATGCTAGGATTGCAAGTCAATACGGCCATTGTCAGAATGATATAAAGAAGGCATTCACTTGTGGTCATGTCCCAAAAAAAATTAAAATTAAAATTAAACATGGTGTCTGTCAAATAGATGAGGTGCCAACTCCCCTCCGGCAAAACGACCGAGGCAAGTTTCCAACCTTGAAAGGGTTCTGCTTCAGAATATATATATATATTCCCTGGCTATAAACAGTACAGTCTTTATAAAGCGGTTCCTCTTTTTCAAAGGCCCCTCAAGGACTTCTGAAGTCATAGCTGTGAAAATGGAAAATCTAGCATTTCGGTTTAAATGGGGCAGCAAGGGAAGGCATAATGGAGGGGAATGGTGAATTTGAGCAATTTAAAGCAACCGTGGATAGTGAACTAGTGAAACCCGAACCGCGGATACAGAGTTACGATATATGTGGATACCAGGACTGTGAATCTGTGCACCTGGCGAGACGAAGAAGCTACCCAATGTTCCCAAATAAATCTCACCAATTTGAAGAAGAAGCTGAGATGATTTATTCAAATCAGCCAAAGTGATGCCAGCTTGCGGTAATCCGCCAAAGTAAGCTGAGATACCAAAACATTGGTACAGTACAGTTCTTTGAAATTCCCGCCCCAGCTAGAGCCGACTCTGCTGTGATTGGCTGAGCCCCGTTGATGTCATGACCAGCTGGGAGGATTCCCTCGCAAGACGGTACTGTGGCACCCGTCAGCCTATCAGAGAGCATTTCCCGCTTCCGATGCAGATTTCTGCTCTCCAATGGCTGATGGGGGGCAGGCAAAGAACCGCTGTCAGTCGCCTTCGGGCTGAGAACAGCGGTATATAAGTAAAGTAAATAATAAATAAAAATAAATAAAGGTGTGCAAAGTACTTCTGGATGTATAACCTTTGTCCCATCGAGGGATAGAACAAAGAGGGGCTTATCAAGTCCCATGCATTTTAGGATTGTCCTTTGTATGTATGAGTGACCCGGAACCCGCGGTGCCCATGTCCATTGTGTTTCCTGCAGAGTATTGTCCAAAATGATGGGATTAACAATCCAGTTCTGGGAAGTTATATTAATTATATTGTTTTATTTGCTTATTGCTTTGTTGTTTACTGATGTGTTGTTGGGCTTGGCCTCATGTAAGCCGCCCCGAGTCCCCTGGGGAGATGGCGGGGTATAAATAAAGTTTATTATTATTATTATTATTATTATTATTATTATTATTATTAAAAGGGAAAATGTCATTGTGGAGAAGGGAACCATGACCATCTCATCGTTGGGAACTGTCATGCTAGGTGACGAGTCTCTTTGTGCGTCCAAGTAGCTGTGAAGGAACAATTATTGTAAACATTCAGAACAATTATTGTAAACATTAAACATGTTTAAAGCAATGCATATGGATTTGGAAAGATTAGCCATTTACAAGAAACGTGCCCCAGGGGATGCCCGACTGTATTTACTCAGTCCTCGAGGAGGCTCTTTCCATGTCCCCCAATTAATAAGAACATCAGCCCTAGCTGATGTTAATAATTAATAATTATTAAGTAGACTATCATTCCTGGCCTTGTCTTACTCAACTGCCAACTATGTCTGTCCTGTTTGGCATAAGTCTGCCCACGCAAAGCAGGTGAACATAGATAGCATTGAACAAAACATGCAGAATAATCACAGGATGTCTTAAACCTACACCTGTTGATAAACTCTACAAGCTAACTGGCATTGCCCCCCCCCCCCCCATGTGTGCCGGGAAGTTGCTACTAAATGTGAGAGAAATAAGGTTGAACACTGTGAAAGCCACCCACTACATGGCTACTAGCCTCCTCTCAGTAGACTCAAATCAAGGAAAAGCTTTATGAGAACTACCGCTCCTCTTGGCGTCCCTCCAGCAACAGCAAGGGTATCCCTCTGGGCAGCTCAACCAGAAAATCCCAACTGGATGGTCCCCACGAAGGAGGGTCTTCCTCCAGGGGCAAAGCAAGAATGGGCAACCTGGAAGTCCCTGAACAGACTCAGAAGCGGAGTGGGCAGATCAAAAGACAACCTGGCAAAATGGCACAACCTAAAAGAATCCCATACCTTGTGTGACTGTGGAGCAGAACAGACAACTCCGCATCTGTATGCTTGTCCACCGTGCCCTGCCTCATGTACAGAGGAGGAATTGTTGGAGGCTACAGACAATGCCGTTGCTGTTGCCCGTTTTGGGTTAAAAGATATTTAGCAGCCTGCGTGCCTTTTATTTTTATCAGTTTTATACTAATTTACGATATGAAATAAACAAACAAATTGTAAACATGTCAATTTTAATAGTGTCCCCCAGTGGTACAGTGGGTTAAACTACTGAGCTGCTGAACTTGCTCACAGTGACAAGCTGGAATGTGTCCAGAGGAGAGCGACTAAAATGATCAAGGATCTGGAGAACAAGCCCTATGAGGAGCGGCTTAAGGAGCTGGGCATGTTTAGCCTGAAGAAGAGAAGGCTGAGAGGAGATATGATAGCCATGTATAAATATGTGAGAGGAAGCCACAGGGAGGAGGGAGCAAGCTTGTTTTCTGCTTCCTTGGAGACTAAGACGCGGAACAATGGCTTCAAACTACAAGAAAGGAGATTCCATCTGAACACGAGGAAGAACTTCCTGACTGTGAGAGCCGTTCAGCAGTGGAACTCTCTGCCCCGGAGTATGGTGGAGGCTCCTTCTTTGGAAGCTTTTAAACAGAGGCTGGATGGCCATCTGTCAGGGGTGATTTGAATGCAATATTCCTGCTTCTTGGCAGAATGGGGTTGGACTGGATGGCCCATGAGGTCTCTTCCAACTCTTTGATTCTATAATTCTAGGTTCGAATCCAGGGAATGAGGCGAGCTCCTGCTGTTAGCCCCAGCTTCTGCCAACTTAGTTCGAAAAAATGCAAATGTGAGTAGGTACCACTCCGGCGGGAAAGTAACGGCACTCCAAGCAGATTGTTGTGAAAAGTATCCCGGGCATTGGTAGCAGCTTCTGGGTTC